CCCACTGAAAACTGTTTGGAAACTTCTGCTTGTCCAAAATATGGCAGCCAAGCTATGGTCATGGGTGGGAAACGGAGTGTATCACTGCAAGTGCTGAAGGATCTGCACCAGCTAACCATTTGTTCTTGGACACAATTCCAAGTGCTTTTTTCTGTAAAAAAGCTACTCCTTAAACTTTATTGACTGATAGCAGTCAAAATTAGCATGCTGGTTCAAATCGTGCTCTACATACGACATTGGAATGTTTTCCAGTTCATATTTTCCCGGAAAACCCACATCACTCCCTGCTGGGTAGTTTCGATTTCAAGAGCATACGTTGCACCGGTGCTCTCTCTGCTTGGAATGATTGATAAGGAAGGCCGAACACGAGTAATGTTTCCCTTTTAGATTTGGCTCTGCTTTTGGTGGACATGATGCAATTTAGCAGAGCCCATGAGAAACATCACTTCTAGAGCAATGCAAGCTATACTCACAGCTTCATCACATCCATGTGCAGTAACCAGGTATTGATTAAGAGCATGGGACACCAAGAAACATGGAAGCTAGATGTGCTTTGGGATGAGTCCAACATGGATCTAGCCTTGGGCTTTTGCTAGTGCAGACATACTGATCTTTAAATAAGGGGTTAAACTAGCTGTGCTTTGCAGTAAGTCGCTTTGAGTTACGTGGACATTTTCAAGTAAGCGTGCATTAGAGGGAGGAGCTATGACTCAATAGTAGAGCATGTGCTTTGGATGTAGAAGGTTGCATGTTCAACCCGTGGCATTTCAAGTTGAAAGGATCAGGTAAAAGGTGATGTGAAAAGCATCGACCTGAGCAGCTGGCAGTCAGAGTAGATAATACTGATGTTGGCAAGCCAGTGGCCTCAGTGCAGAGCAGTTTCATGTGTTCAGATTGGGCAGTATGTTGGGTTTCACAGCTCAGAGTGAACTGAGAGGAATTAGTTCAGTTGTTAATGCTGAGCAATCCCCAGATGGGGGTCTCCCTGGGAGCCACACGGAACTCCTTGGAGTAGGAGCAGAGTATGAATGGAATAAACAAATATCTATAGTAACATAGATTTAGTGTATTTTTTTAAAGAGGCAGATTTTCAGCAGTCAGTGGGATGGTGCAGTGAAAGAACTACCCACTCCTTGCATGCCCAGTCTCTGACTTTCAGCATCGGAATGAAGCTTAAATCCTCCTTATCTTAGTGTAGCATGCATTATCTCTCCCCTCCGCCTAATTGGGGGGGGCGGGAGGTTTCATTAGCTTGTTCAGTAAAATGTAACCCTTACACAAACAAACAAAAAACATGTTTTAAAATGTTGCCAGTAATTGGGTGGGATGAGTGGAGGAATTAAATGTCATGTCATTATTCTGACAGGTCATCTATCCATGTGGAAAAACGAGCAACCAGTTTTAATTTCCCCCGAAAACCTTTTAGACAGTGTTTTCCAACTGGAACGTGTGTTTGTGGCTGTGAGAGCTGCACAAGCTGTATCTATTATTCAGTGTTGTGCCTTCTTTCTAGATGGGTATTGATTGGAAGAATCAAGTGCATCTGTTTGGAAGCGTATACATTTGCTCATGTTCTTTTGCTTCAACCCCCAAACATCTTCATGAGAACAAGTTGTGATCTTAAGAACATAAGAGACGCCAATGTTGGATCAGGCCAAAGGCCCATCCAGTCCAACACTCTGTATCACACAGTGGCCAGAAATACCAGTGCCATCAGGAGGTCCACCAGTGGGGCCAGGACATTAGAAGCCCTCCCACTGTTGACCCCCCCCCAGCACCAAGATGACAGAGCATCACTTGCCCCAGAGTCCCTATCTATACATTGTGGCTAATAGCCACTGATGGACCTCTGCTCCATATGCTTATCTAATTCCCTTTTGAAGCCGTCCATGCCTGTAGCCGCCACCACTTCCTGTGGCAGTGAATTCCAAGTGGTAATCACTCTTTGGGTGAAGAAGTACTTCCTTTTATCTGTTCTAACCCGACCGCTCAGCAATTTCATGGAGTGCCCACGAGTTCTTGTATTGTGAGAAAGAGAGAAAAGTACCTCTTTCTCTACCTGCTCTTTCCCATGCATAATCTTATAAACCTCAATCATGTCACCCCTCAGTCGTCGTTTCTCCAAGCTAAAGAGCCCTAAGCGCCTTAACCTTTCCTCATAGGGAAAGTGTTCCAACCCTTTTATCATTTGAGTTGACCTTTTCTGCACTTTTTCCAAAGCTATAATATACTTTTTAAGGTGTGGTGACCAGAACTGCACACAGTATTCCAAATGAGGTTGCACCATTGATTTATATAGGGGCATTATGATATTGGCTGATCTGTTTTCAATACCCTTCCTAATAATCCCCAGCATAGCATTTGCCTTCTTTATTGCAGTCACACACTGTCTCGACATTTTCAGTGAGTTATCTACTACAACTCCAAGATCTCTCTCTTGATCTGTCTCTGCCAGTTCAGACCCCATCAACGTGTATTTATATTTAGGATTTTTGGCTCCAATGTGCATCACCTTGCACTTGGCCACATTGAACCCCATTTGCCATGTTGACGCCCACTCGCCCATCTTTGACAGATCCCTTTGGAGTGCCTCACAATCCTCACTGGTTTTCACCACCCTGAACAACTTTGTATCATCCGCAAATTTAGCCACTTCACTGCTTACTCCCAACTCCAAATCATTAATGAACAAGTTAAAAAGCAGTGGACGAAGTACTGATCCCTGCGGTACCCCACTGCTTACCCCCCCTCTACTGAGAGAACTGCCCATTTATACTCACACTCTGTTTTCTATTAATTAGCCAGTTTTTGATCCATAAAAGGACTTGTCCTTTTATCCCATGATTTTTGAGCTTACTTAGGAGCCTCTCTCATCACCTCAATCTGACTCAGGTCTTTCAACACCCCTTCCGAACTCAGCGGTTCTGGAGTGGGCAAGCACTTCTCATCTTCCACAGTGAAGACAGAGGCAAAAAATGCATTTAGCTTCTCAGCCATTTCCCTATCATCCTTCAGTACTCCTTTTACCCCTTGGTCATCCAAGGGCCCTACTGCCTCCCTGGCTGGTTTCCTGCTTCTAATGTATTTGAAGAAAGTTTTATTGTTGGTTTTTACGTTTTTTGCTATATGCTCCTCATATTCCCTTTTTGCCTGCCTGACCACAGACTTGCATTTTATTTGCTATAGCCTGTGTTCCGTTTTAACAGTGTAAGGTTTTAATGATTGCACTTGCTGTCTGCTAACCATGTAACCATTTTAAAATATTTATTATGACCTGCTGAATGGAGACAGAATTTTTGTGGGGGAAAGGATGCGGTTTTTTGCTGAGTGTTCAGCTGCCATCCTGATATCATATGATTCCCCACTGGGGAAGAGGGGCATTGAATCCACCTTGCTTGGTTCGTTGTATAAGGCAGGATTGCCTATATTGCTACTCTGCCCTGTCTGCTGGGCAGTTTGGAAGACCCCCTTCCTGGCTTCTCCTGGCTTCCAGGTGATGGGGGTTTCCAGGTGTTGTGCTGTGTGACACCCACTCCTTCCTCTCAACGCTTTGCAGTTGTCTCTACCGTTCTCTGTTCACAGAATGTCCCAGATCAGGCACATATTTGGGGAGGGGCTGTGACTCAGTGGATGAGCATCTGCTTTGTGTGAAGAAGATTCCAGTTCAACCCCCAGCACCTTCCATTAAAAGGACCAGGCAGTAGGTGATGTGAAAGACCTCTGCCTGAGACCTTGGAGAGTTGCTGCCAGTCTGAGTAGACAATACTGACTTTGATGGACCAGTTTTCTGGTTCAGTATGCAGCAGCTTAATGTGTGTTCATGTGTGGGGTAGCTTCAATTAGCTTATGAGTTGTGGCCTTTCAGTTACAAGGTCCCCAGGTCACGAAGGGCTTTGCAGGTAAGTACCAGCACCTTGAACAAGATTTGGAAACCAGTGCAAAAACAGCCAATGCAAAGATCATAAAATAGGTATATTAGAATATGTACAGCCCCTTGCTGGTAAAAGATTGGCTGCTCCATTTTGCCCCAGTTGCGGTTTTAAAATTGGCTCTAAGGGCAGCCCCATGTAGAGCGTATGACAGTTGTCAAGCCTCAAAGTTACTGTTGCGTGGATCAGCATGGCCAGGTCAGTAGTCTCTAATGGGGGGGGAAGCTTATGGGCCAAATTCATTTTTGTTCACTGTGGACACCTTGTGCTCAAACAGCAGAGCAGGGTCTAGCAGCAGTGAAGCTGCTGAGTAGAAGAGGTTGCTGCTGCTGCTTGGTTTAGCTCATTTTGAAGCTGCTCCAGTTTTGTAAATAGAATAATGGCTTTGTTTTCCTCCAGCCTTTCAAGGGACCCATGCGTTCCTTTCGGTGCCAGAGAGACATTGGATCAGCTTCTGTTTTTCAGATTTTTGTCTGAAGGCTGCCATTTCCCATATTTCATCCTCGAAGGCTAAAGTTGCAACTATTCAAATATGTTGTTCGGAACAGAATGCAGACAGGAGGTCTTAATATCAGTTCTTGAAACATCTCCTCTCCCGCCCCCACTTTTATGGGATTTTTGAACACTCAGCACAATGAAGAGTTCCAGAGAATGCAAAAATTTGCATGCTGTATTGTTTTATTTTGGTCGGTCCTAAAAAATATCTTACGACACTCGTTTTTGGATGTTTTCTTTGTACCAGCATAGTGGCTGCACTTTCATCTTTATGTGTGCTCGAACAGGACAGAGTGTTCAAAATGGCACGCTTCCTCTGTTTTTGCATAGCTATTGACTTGAAGGAATTAGTCGTTTATGGCTCACGTGGGAGCAAGCATTCTAAAAAGTGGAAACCGTTTGGCAGAAATGTTGGCTCAGAAAATGACAAATACTTTAATGAAAAGCAGGTTTTGTTTTGAAGCTGGTAAAAAGCAGCGTTTTAAAAAAGTTCCAACAACTGGAAAAATAAAGTTCTATTTTCTCAAGCACATTCCGGAGAAAAGTATAATCCTCCTTGTCTTGTTTCTTCTTTAGGTTGGCTTTGCGCTTGGCAATGTAGTTGGGATGTATCTGGCCCAGAACTATGATGTAAGTACACTACAACCTTATGTGACAACAGTGGGTTTGTGTTTGTGGTCACAGCCTAAAGCTGTGTTAGAAACTCTGTAGAACACTTATTTTCAGACCTGTCATTCATGTTTGATCCCCAAAGACAACATGGGGCTCATACTTAATTTACTTTATTTACTCCCCTTGAAAGGGTTACAGAACACCACAGCTTGAAAACGTTTTCAAATGTAGCTCTCAGCTTCTGCTGGGCACAAGACATAAGAATCCGTTATTAGCAACACAACATATTGTAAGGGTAGTGAGCAAATAACAGCGCTCTGAGAAGAAATAGTGAGTGACTGGACCTTAGCAGGGTTGCCAACTCTGGTTGAGGAAAATCCTGGAGCCTGGGGGAGAGTTTTCAGTGAGTAAAACTCACTGTGAGTATTTCAGTAAAATACATTTACAGTATTACAATACACAATACAAAGCAGCCATTTTCAGGCGAACGGACCTCTGTAGTCCAGAGATCAATTGCAATTCCGGGCTATCTCCAAACCCCACCTGGAGGTTGACAGCCCTAGGCCTTAGTTTATTGAACCCCAGCCTGCTTCCCAGGAGTCAGACTGTGAAACAAACACCGTCTCCTGAGACAGAATTCCCTAGCCTACCTCACCAGCTGTGAAACCTGATCTGAGGGAAAACTAGCAATTTAGCTATTCTTTGCTTCAACTCTCCCTTCCTATTGGCTGTCAAGGTTCTAAGGGCCTTGGAATGGCTTTGATTGGTTCACACAACATTCCAGCCAGATTCAAAGGGGATTGGTAGGGGTCATGAAATGGGCAGGGCTTCGACCTGTCAGTCACAAGCCTCTGGGCCTGGTTCATTTTCAGAGTAGTTGTCCATAATTGTCCCATCTGTTATGGAGGAGCTCTGGTCATTTCTCACTTGGTCTGCCTTAAAACCAAATAGGCTTGTTCAGTGAAAGTGATTGCTTTTGTTAATGGGAGTGTGCCCTGATCTGGATGACCAGGCTAGCCTGGTCTCGTCAGATCTTGGAAGCTAAGCAGGGTCGGGCCTGGCTAGTACTTGGATTGGGGACCACTAAAGGAGTCCAGGATCACTCTGCAGAGGTAGGCAATGGCAGATCACCTCTGAAAGTCTCTTGCCCTCAAAACCCTACAGGGTTGCTATGTCAGCTGGGACTTGATGGCACTTTCCACCAACCTGGGAGTGGAGAGAGGGGGGGGGGGAATAGATAATTTTGGAGCTTGTGCTTTGAATGAAAAAGTCCCAAGTTCAGTGACTAACTTACCTTGTTAGACATTGGATGGAATGTCCTTTAATGGTGGGAATGATGGAAAAGACTCCTGCTTGAAGCTGGGAAGATCTGCTCCCAAGACAGGGTGCTAGGCTGGGGAAAAAACATGTGCTGTACTTGAGAGAAGGCCTTGAAAAGAGTCCACAGAAGGAGAAGGTGAACTGTGGTCTTTTTGGTTATACTCAGCTGAGACAGTTTCAGCACAAATCCTGAAACAGTCAAGGAAGGATCTAAAAATAAGGTTTTTAAAATTCTTATGTCGGTCGATTTGGCATGTGTGTTCATTTTTGTAGTTTTTAGTTTCTCTTAAGGGTAGAATATATTGACATTTGTTTGACTTGAATAGAAGTTTAAACTTTATTGGGAGACAGATTAGGTCAGATCTTCTCAGAAAACTAGAATTGTGTTATTGCCCAACTAAAATAGTCAGATGAGATTGCAACCAGGAGTGTGTGTATGGTGTGTATGGGGGTGTTGAATGTTGGTGTTACAAGACACCAATAGAGGAAGATGCATCTTATAAAGGTAAGGTGTTGTTGGAAATATTCTCTCAATGTACAGTGATAATTTCAGATTCCTGGTAGAATAATTACTGCATTTGAGTTCTTTTACATTTCAGTCTCTTGCAGAGCAGTATTTAACATTATTGAATGAATTTAGGATGGTGCACATTCTCCTTATTTTATTACAACAACACCCCTGCAAGGTAGACCAGCCTAAAGTCACCCTGTGAGTTTGGTTAAAGAATGGGGATTTGAATCCTCCTCTCTCACTAATGCAGCTCTGTAACTGCTATACCACACTGACTGTTATAGATATGATAGATTCTACCCCTTGTAATACTGCTGGATTATCTAAACAAGTAACTTGTTTCAGTTACTGCTGGAATGGCAATTAATGATGTTTATGCCAAAAACTGAATAAGAAGAATCCGGCATACTCTTGCTTCGGTAAAATTGATACAGTCAGATACACAGTTGGTTCACTTGTACGGGCCAGCCATACTTTGCCATTCTCCCATCTCTTACTCCAATTCATTAGTTATTTACTGTTTAGCAGAACTAGAAACCATAGTTTGCTGCTGTTACATCAAAAGCAAATTATGGTTTGCACATGCCCTTCAAGCCCTGACGTTGGATGGCCCAGGCTAGGCCAATCTTGTCAGATCTCAGAAGCTAAGCAGGGTTGTTCTTCGCTAGTATTTGGATGGGAGACCACCAAGGAATACCAGGGTCATGACGTGGAGCCAGGCAATGGCAAACCGCCTCCGAATGTTTCTTGCCCTGAAAACCCTATGGGGTCAACATAAGTCAGCTGTGATTTGACGGCAAAAAAAACAACAGCTTGTCCTTCAAACCAGGATTGCAAACTGATTTCAAACCGTAATTTACAGTTCTGGTTTGGAGAGTGAGCACAGACCCTAACTTGCCAGGGCATAGGTAAAACTAGGGATGCCAGCCTCCAGGTGGGATCTGGGGATCCCCTGGAATTACAGCCAATCTGCAGACTGCAGAGATCAGTTCTCCTGGAGAAAAGGGATGGTTTGGAGGGTAGACTCTATGGCCATGTACCCCACTGAGGTCTCTGTCCTCCCCAGCCTCCATCCCCAAATCGCCAGCTTCCCGACCTGGATCTGGCAACCTTACTCCTCCATTCCCTGCTGGTGGCCCGGGATGACCTGGCAACCCTATGTAAAACAGGAAGTTACTAACGAAATGTGTGTTAAACAGGAAGTAACTAAAGGAATTGGAGCATGCCAACTTAAGGCTTGTTCCCATAGCTTCAAAAATAGTTTTCATGTTAACCAGGTGACAGAGGGAGAGAATGACCTTAAATGTTTTGAATAAGAGAGATGGCATGGATGCATACTAGTTGTACTAAGGACATTGGGATGATTTTATAGAAGACAAAATGTACTGTAAACTCCCATTTTCTTTAATGTAGTAGTTCTGTAATGTTCTACCCCAAAATACATTTTTAAGCACTTATTTTGCATCTTTTGCTTTTCATCTCTTTTGTTATTCTGTTGCCTTCTTGTTGTTAATTGTATTCCTGGATTTGTGAAAGCTTGTCTTCCTTGATCATCCCCTGAGTTACTGAATTTAAAAACTCTGAACAATTCTGACACAATTCTTCTGGGTCTTCCCCCCCCCCCCATAGATTCCAAACCTTACAAAGAAGATTGAAGACATCAAACGAGATGTGGAAGCTAGGAAGAAGCCTCCAAGTGACAAATGATGATGATTTTGGCCATCTCTGTACAAGCATAGATGATGTAGTTTCTCCAGTGGGTGGAGCTCTTGATGTGGCTTTGGAGAATGGCCTGGAATTGGAGGACTTGACTGCCCTTCGTCTGACTGCTGAAGTCACCACTTTACCATGGGACCTTCTAGCAGTTTCTGGACATTTGACTTTTTTTAGCCCCTTGTGTGATAGGGGAAAGAAACCCCCCAGAGTATTTAGATTATTGTCATGTGTGTGGTAATGTTGTACATTAAGTATTAACGTGTTTTGGGTACAGAGAAATGAAATTCCTATCACTGTTCCAGCTCGCCAGTTTGTAAAATTATGGACTGTTACAGACTCGTGAATCAAATTAAAACACATACATTAGGAAGGATCGTCCGCAGATGATTCCCCCCCCCCCCAATATATTCTGTAGCACAATGTTAAAGTCTTTTTTATACAACTTGTTAAGTACCAAACCACTGGTGATAAAACCTCATCTTTGTTCTCAGAGTGAACTTTGCTGGCTTTAAAGTTGTTGGGGTTTGTGCCTTGCTGAGGACGGGCATCACAAGAAGAACGAACCAAGAAGTCCTTTGGCTCGTGTGTTTTGTTCAGGTCCCTTCCAGCATGCAAACTTACAGAATTAAACGGTAGTTTAGAGTCTTGGGTTGTCGGAGAGAACAAACCAGTTTTTAGTTTCGCTTGATTCAAACATTACAACATACTGCCAGTCTACTTAGACAAAAAGGAGGGACCGGTGGAGCTTGAAATTTGAAGGATTTCCTGGCTTGTTCTTGTTGCTCATTACTTGTGAATCCTGCCACAGTAGCTTGCCCAAGGGCACATGATGACTTTTTGCCAAATAAGATTTAAGTCTAGGTTTTCCAATTCCATGTATGGCATGCTTACCACTCACCAGTTGACATTCTCTTGGGGCATAAATTAATGAGAACTTCTTGTATTCCTCCTACTTTGGTTCCCTTAGTAAACCCCAAGAGACAGTATTAGTTGGGAGGGGGAAGGCTCCCATGGAGAAGACTTTATGGATCTTTCCACTTCCTAAACTTGGGATGGTGAACCATTGGTGCTTAAAACATATCTGTTACCCTGATGCTTCCATCCAGTTTTAATAAAAGTGGATGTGTGAGAGAGACTCCGTGCTTCAGTACTGCATTTTTTTTCCAGTTGGTACTGCATGTAATGCTCCTACAGATGAACTCTTAGAGACTTTATTCAAAAGGTTATTTTACCGCACTCTTTCAATGTTTATTGACCTTCAGAGCAGCTTGCAAAATCCATAAAACAGTATGAGCAGACTTAGGAGCACTAAAGCAATTACATTTTGCAGTGAGACTTCCTAATTAAGATCCTCTGTGTGTCTTTCAACAGTGGCATGTGGTGTTCATTAATGGCTTCCGACCAGTCCAAATCTTGATAAATTAGCCCATGTGCCTTCTTGCATTGCCTCATGGGAACGTTAGTCCCCTCTACCCACATCTGCAAAAATCTTGTTTTTAAAACTTGGATACAAATAAAAACAGATGCATCTTGATACTTGTTATTACTGTAGTGTTCTAGGCATGCAATGCCAGCCCCGAAAATTAAAAGGAAAAACAACCCAACTGCCGTGTCTGGGATGAATGTGTGAAGGTTTGTTTTTGCAGTGTGGCTACTGTAGGTCATGGCATACCACTTCATTTGCAAAATGGTCCTACTCTCCTGCATGAAGTGAAATGGATGTTGTATGTTTTGCTGGCTAACCCAGTATTCATCTCTGCAACGATCCTTGATTTGTTGTGCAGACATTTGTCTGTATCTGTATTTAACTCTGGCATGATTTAGACATAATGGCAAACCTTGGTTTGGGTCCAAGATGTGCACACAGCAAATACTGGGTTGTTCTTCTGGATTTATCTCCTTCGATACAAACCCAAAATACTCAGTGTTGCCCCCCACTACTATATTAGTGGTGTCGGCATCTAGTCATGCTGGCCACATGACCACGGAAATGTCTTTGGACAGCGCTGGCTCTTTGGCTTTGAAACGGAGATGAGCACCGCAACCCTAGAGTTGGACTCGACTGGCTTTCGAGCAAGGGAACCTTTACCTTTTACCCCATAAAAAAGCATCATAATAAAAGCCTAGGGGGAGGGGTTTTTTTTAACTGGATGGATGGAGTGTGGCTGCCATCCTGCAGATGGAGCCCGGAGATCCCCTGGAATTGCAAATGTTTTCTAGGTGACAGAGATCAGTTTAAACTGGAAAGCCAGTTTGGTGTAGTGGTTAGGAGTGCGGACTCTAATCTGGGAGACCCGGGTTTCATTCCTCACTCCTCCACATGCAGCTTCTGGTGTGACCTTGGGTCAGTCACAAGTTCTCTCAGAGCTGCTCTCTCAAGAGCAGTTTCTGTCAGAGCTCTCTCAGCCCCACCTACCTCACAGGGTGTCTGTTGTGGGGAAGGGAAAGGAGATCGTAAGCCGCTCAGACTCTGAGTGAGGGCGGGGTATAAATGTATTTATTTATTTATTTAAATTTATAACCTGCCCTCCCCGCGAACGGGCTCAGGGCGGCGTACAGATGGGGCCAATGCCCAATACTGACCCAATCCAATCTTTTCTTCCTTTGGTGAAAACAGCTGCTTTGAAAGTTGGGCTTGATGGCATTATGCTCTGCTGAGCTCCCTCCTGTTTCCAAACCACACCCTTCATAGGCTGTACCCTCTAAATCTCCAGGAATTCCCCATCCTGGGGTTGGTAACTCTAGACTGAAACAACGCATTTCAGCAGTAGGATGATCAGCCATCTAGAGGATCGTTTTCTTTTAAAAAGTGTCAGGGGAAGAACTGCCAGCTCCCTCTGTGGCCAGGGAACCCCCAAAGGCAGTGTGACATCTCAAACCGTGATGTGATGATTTTGGTGCAATGTCTAAACTGTGGTTTGCAAACCGGCTTGAAAGTACTATTTGAGGTCCTGGGTTGACATCTGCTTTCAAACCATAGCTGGATGGTTTGGGTGTACAGATGGTTTGTTGTTTGCAGACTCTAACGCTGAGTCTAGTAGCGCCTCATTAGAGACCAACAAGGTTTTTTTTTGGGGGGGGGGGGATAAGCTTTGGAGAGTCAAAGCTCCCTTCATCAGATACAAGTAGAGAACTTGTGTCTGACAAAGGGAGCTTGACTCTCCAAAGCTGATACCCCCAGAATCTTGTTGGTCCCTAATAAGGTGCTGCTGGGCTCAGATCTGGCTGCTCTACTGCAGACCAACATGGCTGCCCTCTGAAACTGGCTTGTTGTCATTTCTGAATCGTACGTGTGTCTTGGATTGTGGCCCCTTTCTGCACTTTTTCCCAATGCTATAGTATCCTCTCTGAGGTGTGGTGACTTCCCTTCCCTTTTCTTTCCCTTTTCAGTTGAATTCTTTCAGTTCTTGATAGCCGTCTTAGTCGTCGTCCCCCCACACCTTCTGTAAGAAAAGGGCTTTGCATTTTTACATTACGGCTTGAGATAATGAAGAAATTGACTTGCAGATCACAAGGCTTATGTTTATGTATTTATAACAAAGCTAATTCGTTGAAAGCATAATAATATACAAAAGGAGATCTGTCTCAAAACAGTCAGTCCCAAGTAAAAGCATTCCAGTGTCAACTGCTCCATACACCCTTTTTAAGCAACTCTTGTTTGTGGCGATTTCTAGGACACCTGCAGGGAGACTGTTCCATACACCACTCTCATTCTAACTCGCTGACGTGAGGGGACAGAGGGGAGGGGCAGCCACAAAGGATCATACAGAGAGAGTCAGTCCTTCAAGAATGAAAAATATCCCCCCTCCCCCCCCCCAGAAGAATTCTGTGAACATACTGTTTCAGTTCAGAACTTCCAGTTTATACCAGCCTTCTCTCCATTTGGAACAAAACAGCCGTTTAATAGAAGAATAGAATATAAATTTTAACATTAAAATTTATGCCTGTCCATTGCACGTCATGCTGATGCCCTAAATTTATGCCTGTCAATTGTACGGGGTAAGGGTTAGAGTGCCAGACTGGGCCTCGGGGACCCAAGTTCTAATCCCCACTCGGTGACTGGGTGACTTCAAGTCAGTTACTCTTTCTCAGCCTAACCTACCTCATAGGGTTGTTGTGAGGATAAAATAGAGGGAGGGATAACATGTATACTGGTCTGAGTTTCTGAGAGGAAGGAAGGGAAGGATAAAAACAACATAGGAAGGAAGGGAAGGATAAAAACAATATGGCACAGAAATGGTGGAAAATGCAATCAAAAAATAATTGGGAACATAAGCAATGAAAAACGACAAAAACAAAAAGGCGCAGTGGCAACAAATGAGAACATAAAAGAATGATAATTTCATATGTCCCAAATAACCTCCTGCCCAGTTTGCTGCCAAAGAATGTTACTGTTTTAAAACACCGAAAGTAAAAGCATTCCATCTCTGCTCGTATGTTACAGATCACAAGAATATCACAAAGCGGAATAATTTATTTAGTTGGCAAGCAACCCCCCCCCACAAAAAACCGTTTTTACTAGCAGCAGAAGAGTATTCTGGTTACATAAGTGGCCTAGGGGAACAGCAAAATAAAGTTCATAGTACAATTAGGTGGATTAATGTGGGGTTCTGCTCTATCTTTCGCCGTACAGTTCAATATTTTCAGAATAATTCATTTATTAAAACAGCAGGAAATTTGCCAGTCCAGAAGCTTAGTGTGACCAGGGCCAGGGCTGGATGAAACCATGCAAATGCCCTAAATTATGCGAAGGTTAAGAGAGACCCCACAGTATAGCCCCAAATGGTGACTTAGCTATTTTTTATTTTTAATACTTGGAGGCCAAAGAGGAGTTTGGCCCTCCTCTTGTTTGCGAGGACTTTTTGGACACCTGCAGGGAGCCATACACCACTCTCATTCTAACTCGCTTACAAGAGGAGACAGAGGGGGAGTAGCAGTCACAAAGGGCCATACAGAGAGAGTCGGCCAAACTCTGGCTTGTGCATAAATCCAGCCTAGGCCAGGTTGCTTTTGAATGGAGACACTCCTTTGAGTGAAAAGATGCCTCTGAATGGGCTGCAGCCAGCCCTGTAGCTATGGATTTTTTGGGGACGGGGGCTCAGGGGGCCACAACTAATTAAAGTTAATTACATTTATTCCATTTGGGGCCAGCCCAGAAGAAACGCTGGGGACAGCGAGTCTGGCTGCAGCAGCTCTGAATCTGGAAGCAGTGGTTCACTAACTGCCGCCGTGCAATTGTGACATGCATGAATCTGCTTTATACTGAATCATACCGGTGTCAGTATTGTTTCCAGGGTCTGAGGAAGATGTCGTTTGCATCACCTACTACTGGACTACTGGATCCTTTAAACAAGGGGATGCAAGGGATTGAAACTAGTGCCTTCTGCATGGCAAGCAGATGCTCTACCATCGAGCCGTGGTTGCTCCTTCTAGCACTAACCTAGGCCCAGCTTTCATATATTCTTGTTTTTAAATGTCTGTTTCCTCTTAGGGCCTATCCGGCAGCTTCCCCTGCTATATCTGCATGAAGTATCCAGGGGAAATCAGGCATATTTTCTAGTCTATTCCTTCCATACTCAAGAAACTATCTGTGTGGACTGAAAGTGGTTTTGTAATCTCTGTGGACTAGCGTGAACCGAAGCACATTGGATTTACACATGACGCCCTTATTGGAGCCTAAAATATGCTGGAGTTTAAATAAATCTCAAAAATGCTTCAAAACCACACCTAATAGGAAGATGAGAGGGTAGGTTTGAAAACCAAAGGCATAATGGCAGTCTTTGAAATCTGATCAGACGTTTTCTACCTGGAAAACTGAGAAGCTGGTCTACTACAGCAGGATTGTTGAGTGTCATGCCCAAGCCACACCCATGGGGCATGCTGCCTTCCGCCGTTGCATTGGTCGTGTCAAAAGGCCCACTCCACAAGCCTCAGAATGGGAGGGGTTCTGCCCACCCGGTTCCTCCTCCCCCACCTGGAGGGCTCTCTGATGCAGCCTTGAGCCTCCAGGCCACTCCTCCCCAGCTTGCTGTCAGCAGCCTTCTTTTAATTCCCTGCTACCCCCTTGTACCCACCTCCCTCTTCTCCATATGGACCAGACACCTGCCCATCAAGTTGGGGATGTGGCCATTGGCTCCGGTCTGCTGCAGCCCTTCTGAAAGCTCCACTCGGCCACCTGGCCCTCAGCATCTGCTGGGCCCTCCCAACCCAGAGCAGGACTTCAACCAGAACATGGTGTGAGGAGGGGCCTTAGCCATTGCTCTTAGGAAAGAGCTGACCTGGAGTACCATCTTCACAGTGTGGGTGGGTGTGTCTGGGCTTGTCCCGGACTGGGGAAACATGCTGGGTGCTTGGAGCTTCGGTGGTACCATCAGAGCTCGCTGGGGGGTGGCGACGGCCCCAGCACCACCCTCATCTTCACCATCAGCCTCACTTGCTGCATGGGTTTCCCACCACCCTTGCTGCTCTCCCGGGCCCTTCCTGCTCCAGCTGCCCCTACCCAGGTAAGCTGATGTGACTGAGGGTCGGGGCCGGCCCTGGGGGCTCATTGCCCATGTGGAGCCAGCAGGCGGATGGCACCTAGTCAAGCGGGCTACCGTGCAGCTGCAGTGCTAGCCCTGACCCCAGACGGTTGAGAAAATACACACTGTTGATTCTCTTCAACCAAATCCCTTCTATTTTTCATTAAAGCTGGAAGAGAACAACGTCCCCCAACAAAGTATGGTAGTGTATATGTATTAATACCATTTTCTCAAATTTTGTCTCCAAAACCATTCTCTAGTCCCAGACAGCTCTCATTTGGTATATGAGAAACAGCTAGTTTAACATTATGATTCAGTCTCTACTGGGCTTGCCAGTCCAGAGAGTTAACAGTGAATGGCAGGAACCATTAAGTCTGTACAGATACCTTTCTACACCCATCAAAGGACTGGTTCAAAGATGGAAAGATACCTACCTTTCCCAAAGACTCCTTCTGTGCTTCCAGAATTTAATACCAGACCAGGAAGAGAGAAAACCACTATCTAGAGGAGCTTGTAGAAAGAGCCACACTATTTCGATACCGTAGAGCAACTAGATCAGCGGTTCTCAACCTGTGGGTCGTGACCCCTTTGGGGGTCGAACGACCCTTGCACAGGGGTCGCCTAAGACCATCGGAAAACACAAATTTTCGATGGTCTTATGATAGGGCTCCCAAGTCTCGCCAAATCGCGGCGGGGGATCGCGTCTCTTCGCAGAATCCCTGTTTTTGTGATTAATCACTATGCTTTAATTATGTTCAGTTTGTAACAATGAAAATACATCCTGCATATCAGATATTTACATTACGATTCATAACAGTAGCAAAATTACAGTTATGAAGTAGCAACGGAAATAATTTTATGGTTGGGGGTCACCACAACACGAGGAACTGTACTAAAGGGTAGGTTGAGAACCACTGAACTAGATGATCAAATAGCAAATAGTACTACCTCCTTATCTAGTAAACTATATATCATTTTCTACTTTTTTTAAAAAAAAAATGTATAAATACATATAAACATATTCTTTAGAACCAACTTGATAAATATAGGATGGTAGCCATCTTAAGCTACATGAAATCTGAGAGCTGAACTAGAGTGGCTGATATTACATATACCCCTATAAGTGAAGCACAATGTTGGCAGAGCAAAAGTAAGTCTTCTGTTGAAATGAAGGGAGAAAACTGGGAAAGCCAAAGCAAGTTAATTCCATTATAGTTCCGAGAGCAAGGAATGAATGAAGTTCAGCACTAGATTCTCCTTGGGAGAATCTCCAGTTGCGTTGCTGCTTGGTTAGTTTTGGTTATTGGAACTATGTACTCTCAAGTTTCTTTCTTTATGCATGTGCAATTTAAATAAAATACGTCACTCCAGTTTGCTGGTGGCTGAGCAAGTGTTGTCACCGTTGACTATGATGGGCCGGTGACATTGCCGACTATCGCCCAGTCTGGAAATGTATTCAGTTGGAAGAGTCTAATTCCCCAAGTATTTATAGCCACCATAACAACCACTAGACCAATCAGATTGACACCAAAGCCAGCTTTGACCTATGATAAAAAAGAAAGTACACCACATTAAGTTTCAACAAATTAATTGCAATCAGTTAGGGCAAAGGTTGTCAAATCAGGGAAACAGGCTGTGGTGTTGAGGGACAGGTGTGTTATGCCTGGAGAGGTAAGGCGCTTTGAAGTGTACCAGGGAGTCCTTGGTATTTGTGTTCCCAGGGAAGAGAGCCATAAAATGTACCAAGGGGGCACAGAGCAGAGACAATTTCTGCAGAGAGAGAACCATTTTTCTACCAGCTAGGAGGGTGATCTGGATAGTGAGATGTGTGGGATTGAATGGTAGATTGGCATGCACCTTCCCATGTGAGTATAAATTCCCTAAATCTGGATTGGGAGAGGCTTTCCCACCGACAAACGCTGGCAACATCCATGAGTCTTTGTCCAAATCCTTTGTCCAAATACTGGAAGCTGGATTCTTCCACGCAGACCAGGTGGGTGGTCTGGAGGTGCATTTGTTCCAAAGACATCCGGGGGGGGGGGGTGTTGGAGGTAACTCTTCTGTATTGTTGAGTTTACCTTAGTGCTACATTTTCTATTATTTTCCTTAGATCTGTAAGCAGTAGGCTGGATAGTATTTTCCCTGTCTTGTGCTCATAGCTTAATCTGTAGCAATAAAGTCTTTTCCCGTTTCAGACCGCAGACTGTGATTCAAGTCCTACTTGTGTGCCTCAGATCACTAACTCACGATTAGACATACACACACACACACACACACACACATGCAGAAGAAGGGCTGGGATAGTTGGGAGACTCTGCCCTTTGTACTTGCCCAAAGACAGCTTTTACCAGCATCTTCCCAAATCATTGCTAGTGCAGGAGGCTGGATTTCTTACCTTGGGGTAGTGGCACAATGAAGAGGACCATACTTTACTTGCCCACAAACACGCAACACACACATGTAAGCATACATAGACCCCAAGCAGGTTCATGACAAGATGGGCATATTTTTCCGGATTCCAGGCAATGCTGAGGCAGTAAGGCTAGAAGTGTGGGTCTTTTGGTGCCTGTTGAAGTGCAATAGGCAAAGGGACCTTGCTTTTTTAATGGCCATTACTCTTATGCAAATATGCATGGGATACAGTCCAATCCTACTCACGTTTGCTTGGAAGTAAATCCCACTGGTTTTAGGGCTGTTACCCTTGTGCAAGGGATACAGCCAAGTCCTACTCATTGGAGGGGGGGGGAATAAATCCCACTTGTTTTCATTATTATTACATTTTTCACTATCCAGATATGTAAGGTACTTGGGACTAGTGGGTCCCAAGGGCTCTGGGAACATCTCAATTTCCCAGGGAAAAGGGGCCATGAAATCTGCAGGATGTCAACAAGCTGGAGATGCATTTTGGCAAAGAGCCATTTTCTCTAATTGCCAAGAAGGGCAAAATGGATAGTTGTTAAAACAGGAGCTGGGCATTAAGGTGTGAGGGACATGCACTCTTTAATGACTGGGGGGGGGGAATAGGGGTTCACAATCTCACCAGGGAGAAGACCCCCTATCTCCGGACTGGGCAAAGAACTTCCAGCCAGCTAAGGTGGGGGCAGATGCACCCTTTGTCCAATGTTTGTTGGTTTCTCAAAAACATCTGGTTAACCACTGTAGAAAATAGGATGCTGAATGAGATGTGTGCCAAGGTCATCGTTTGCCTAGGGCCCCCCAAAAACCTTGGGCCAGCTTTGGATAGGTCACCATACCAAGTAAATTTGGACCTGTGGGTCACCATACTGAAAAAGGTTGGGAACTACTGCTCTAGTGTAATTAATAAAATCTTTCCCGTTTAACTGTGTTTCAGATACCTTCCCTTGCACCTAGCCCTTGATCACAAACACAAAGGGAAAGGCACGAAGTGGCTGGTAAACTTTGCCTTTTGTACATGCTCAGAGAGTTTTTACTGGCACTTCTCAAACTATGAGTAAATGGAAAGGGCTGGGGGTTTTAGTCTAAGGTGGTGGCATCAGAGAAACATGAATTTCCACCCTCAAACACAGGATGGGTTGTGAGGACTCTTATGCAAGTATGCATGGAATAGAGCCTTTTTCTTCCTCTGGAGAATATACTTTCGTACTTCTGATATTCAGATAATTTTTGGCTTTAAACTCTGACCACACAATTACAAAACATTATTCACTTTCAAATTTGAGTGGGAGGGGAAAATAATTTCTAACCTACCACAAAACAGCCACACTGTATAAACTACTACTACTACTACTACTACTACTACTACTACTACTACTACTACTGCTGCTACTATTCAGAAATGGGGTACTCCATTCCTTCTGAAATGGGCTGATCTGATCATGGGTTCCAGTTGCATCAAGCATAGTACTTACCATGTCCTTGATCTGACAGTGCCCATAATTGAAGACAATGGCATTTGGAGGATTGCCCACTGGTAGCATCACCGCAAAAGAGATACACATTGCAACTGGGATCAGGGTGTACAGAGGGTTGATTTGCAGGGTTTCTGACTGAGGAAAGGAAGAGACAGAGGCTGTTTGTGCACAGCTGATGAAAGAAATGCTGGTTTTCAAGGCAACAGACATTCAGAGGTGGTTTGTGATCGGTTGCCTCTGCAAAGTGACCCTGGATTTTCTTGGTGGTCTCTCATCCAAGGACTCACCAGGGCCAACCCTGCTTAGCTTCTGAGATCTGACGAGAGCAGGATAGCCTGGGCCACCCTGGTCAGCGTGATGAAAGAAATACCCTAACAAAATTGCAATTCCCAAGATTTCTTGAAGGAAACCACAACATTTAACCCTTCTCCACTAACTGCTATCCCTCAGACTTCCACCAAGAGAAGTCACCTGAAAAGCTCTCATTTTTCACAGGGGAGCTGAAGTGGAAGAAAGACTGAGAAAGCTTTAATCAAAGCACCATGAAGAGGTGGGTGTTGGAGAGGAATCAGCAAAAATCTCTCCCTTGCTGGCTGCTGGCAGATTTTTTCCGGTTGGAGCCGACCTACTGTTCCTTGTATCTAGCAAGTTTGTACCAAATCCACATCAGCCCCAAATGTACACTCACCATGCTGCATAAAATAGGCAAAAAGATGGTTATGGTTGCTGGGTTACTAACAAACTCCGTCACAATGGACACCAGGATGCAGGCTAGCAGAGTGACAGCCCAAAAGGGAAGGCTACTCAGGGACAACATCTGCCGCCCAATCCACGTGGAAAGGCCAGATGTCTGAAAGAAAAAGACGTTGGTTTAAAATAGAAGGTGTCATGAAACAACGTTGTGGTCTCTACAGAACCTTGATCCTTCTATCTTGCAAGGATGACAAGAAATACAGAATTGACTTTCCTCTTCTCCCCAGCCTGGCCACCGCCCAAAGCATATATGGGCATAACATTTTCTGACTCCGATCAGGTCAATATGACAGCTAGAACCAGGGTCGGTTCCATGTTTTGTGGGGTCCTTTGCAGAGAGTTCCCAGGATACCCGCAATCCTCTGCCCATCACCAGGCCCTCTGCTCGTGCCCTCCTTCCCTCCCACCTACTGTTACCATGGGTGCTTGTAATTGCATTTTCTGTACTGTGCTGATGCTGTGTTTGTCAAATGTCTGTGTATCTGTGCATTTGGGACTCAGGGATTACTGCTGTGTTTGTATGACTTGTTCTGCATCTTATGCTTGCCTATGGATGGGCAAGACCTGTGCTGCCTGCTACAGAACACGTGCCTCCCTGCACATTCCCAGAATGCCTCTGGACAAAGAACACCAGCGCCATTACACCCAGGTTGGACCCTTGGAAAACAACAGCATTCCCCACCATTGCTGATCTGTGGGAAACCACGTAACTCTCTTCCTGCTATCTGGTTTGGCATCGCAAAGACAATAATGTTTATTGCCTCTGGACCAGGACACTCTGCAAGTCAAAGGTTGCCAATGGAAACGACGGTTTCACACCTGGCCACATGGCTCTCGTTTGAAGTTAGGGTAGCATATTTGAATATTGCCCCTTCCCCTTGATTAGGACATCACCACTCTTTGACCTATAGCCATAGCAGAGAGGACGTACCCTAAGGGTTTATGGCCTTAAAGCCAAGCCCAAAACCCTAGCTTTTAAAAAGAGGAACACAGCCTTTGTTTCTCTCTCTCTGGTTAGGGTTAGCTCAGCCCTCCCCACCTTTCTGCAACTTAAGCTGCAGTGCCCGTTGGCCAGCATGCCAGCGAGAAACCCCCCCCCCTTCCACATTAGGCAACGAAGCTCTGCTGAAGGAGATCCTCTCGGGCTTTCCCTGGGAGTGCACACCAGGGGAAGCACACACGTTGTTGGCTTTCTCCAGCTGTGTGAGAGAAGGATCCCGAGTGAGACCTTCCGGCCCTGATGTCCCACAGAGAAGAGGTATTTCCCTACTGGACTCAGATAAGTATGAGCGAAATCCCTTTTAGTCTCACCCCATTGTTTAACTGCTTTGTTATTTGCATTACTATTTGTTTCTGTATCTAATTTAATCTGAAGGAAAGATTGTTTGATTGTGTGTGAGCATCTGATTTTGGAGTGCTTGAGAATTGTTTAGTAAAAGGCAACATTTATTCATAAACCTAGCGTTGTCTCCATTATTGGGAAAAGTAGTGTTTGTTTCTAATTAAAATCTCTGTATACAAGTGATCAGCCAAGAACTCAGTGGAATATCCTCAAAACCAGAGGATTTCCGGTATCACTACCCACCCACCCACTTTCCTCCCACCTGCTTGTGTGTTCTTCCACTGTCTGCTCACAAGCTGTCCTGCTGCCCATTCTTACAGCTGCCTGCAGCCCTTTTCCCAGTGGCACTTGAAAATGCTTACAGCAGGGTGCATAAGTGGTGGGGCATGGGCAAGTGAGTGCGTAGGGGACATCAGCAACAGTGGGCCCTACCAGAGATTGTGGGCCTGGGCAGCTGCCCTGCCACAGGGTATGCTGACACCAGCCATGGCTGAAACCAGAGGTCATTTCGGGGGGGATCGCGGGGGATCGCAGTTCCCCCGGGTGAGGTGCAATGGGGCGGGGCACATGACGAAGCCCCACCCCTTCTTCCAGCCGCCCCCTTCTTCCAGCCTCATTCTGTTGCAGAAGGAGGAAGAAGCAGGAGGGTAAGTTGGCGTCCTCCCCCTCTGCCTGGCCGAGGCCACTCCACATGGCCTCCGCAAGGACTCCCAGCCCCATCCAGGAGCTTCCCCGAGGTAGCTGTGTTAATCTGTTGCTGCAAAATAGTCCAAGAGTTCAAACAGCACCTTTAAGACTAACAAATAGCACCTTTAAGACTAACCTTTAAGACTAAGACTAACTGAGTGGTGGGTGTGGCCTTATGACACACTTCCAGTGATAGGAACAGAAACTAAGGGCACAGCAATACATATAACATCAATACAAAGTGAAATGCTGCATAAGTTCACACAAAGAAATTAATGCTGAAATCCAATTTCCATGTTGTTTATAATTCTTGTATTTCAACAGGTGAACATCATCCAGACACCAGAGTGTCGACAAGATGTACAGAACGGGACGAACTTCTCGAGTTTTGCCGTTCGTTTTGAGAACAATCTTTATCAAACTTCAATTTCCAGTGGTCCTTTCACAGTCTAATTCACCACTAAGGTATCCAAACATTCAGGAAGGCTTCTAATAGCTCTTATCACCTTACTGTCCATAGTGAAATAATAATGGTTGGTGATAAGAGCTGTTAGAAGCCTTCCTGAATGTTTGGATACCTTAGTGGTGAATTAGACTGTGAAAGGACCACTGAAAATTGAAGTTTGATAAAGATTGTTCTCAAAACGAACGGCAAAACTCGAGAAGTTCGTCCCGTTCTGTACATCTTGTCGACACTCTGGTGTCTGGATGATGTTCACCTGTTGAAATACAAGAATTATAAACAACACTTCCGGTGATGGCAGGGGGTGTGGCCTTATGACACACTTCTGGTGATGACAGGGGGTGTGGACTTATGACACACTTCCGGTGATGTCAGGGGGTGTGGCATATGCTAATGAGTTATGCTAATGAGTTCCCCTAGCTCTTTTTCTACTAAACAACCCCTGGCTGAAACCATTTCAGAGCACGATTTCAATCAGCATTTGCTGGGACATTGGAAGACAAGAAGGAGGAAAGGAGAGACGGGAGGTGCTTGAAACAGAATAACTTCGATTGGCACCAGAGGGCAGGAGAGGACGTGATCTGAGCCAAATGAGTGTTCCTTTATGAAGCAAGGCACTGCTAATAGGAAGAGAGGCATGTTCTGTTTCATCATGGAAGGTCTCCTCACACCCGGAAGCATCTATAGTCACCTTGCATCCTGCTGCTAAAGCGTATCCTCCTCCAACCAGCACTACGATCTCCCAGGGCATTGTTTTCTGGAAGTCCTTCCAGGTGATGATGGGTTCTGCCGAGTTATCATCATCTGTAGAATCTGTAACGTCTTCTGTGTGAATATAAAACACAGGTGGAACGATACACATACAAATGCAAAGGCTGTTAAGTAGCAACTGGCTTATGGCAACCCTAGCAAGGGGTTTCCAAGGGAAGTCAGAAGCAGAGGCGGTTGGACAAGGCCTTCCTCCCCCATCCAAGTCACCACCCTGCTTAGCTTCTGAGCGCTGATGAGATCAGGCTGTACTATGCCATCATCCCTCCTGTGGAAAGATAAACTTGCCATTTTTTCCACATTTCTTAGCAAACCATATACGACAAACCTAGGCTGGTGGGAATCACATAGCCAACCATTTTCACAAAGACATATACGAGCATATATTGTTCTTAAGCGGGAACAAAACAGCTGAGATCATCATGGCTGATCCATATTTGTTTTAAACAGGGCTCTTTTTGTAGAAAAAGCCCAGCAGGAACTCATTAGCATAATAGGCCACACCCAGCAGCAGGAAATCATTAGCATATTAGGCCACACCCCTGACAGCACAGCTCACTGGCACATTAGGCCACACCCCCATGTTACCAGAAGTGTGGTCATCCAGCCACACCCACCTTTTGCTTGTTATTCTGTTTACCTTGTTTGTTGTCCACACCCAGGGCTTTTTTTGTAGCAGGAACTCCTTTGCATGTTAGGCCACACACCCCTAATGTAGCCAATCCGAATTAGTTTCTGCTATTGGGTGTGGCCTATTATGCTAATGAGTTCCTGCTGGGCGTGGTCAACTTGGGAGCCAGCCGGAACTCCGTTCCTGTGCGTTCCTGCCCAAAAATAGCCCTGGTTTTAAATTGTTATCAGAACTTCCCAGTAGTACCAATGAATGGTTAAGGTTTAAGTAAAAGTGTGTATCAGAGTTGGGATAAAACTTTGTTTCCACGCTCTGCAACATACCAGCACTTCAGGGAAAGAACTACCACTGCTCTGGCCTCAGTTCACTGAAAGGAATTCACTGTACATTTGCCATGGAATTTAATATCAATCACGTATGCCAGCATTTCCTGACCTGTCAGTCCTGACCTAAAAGTGGATCATGAGACCTGTGAAAGTGGGTCCCAGGCATTTGAAGTATCACTAATTTGGCCATGCTCTGTTGTTGTTTTGCAGTGCGTCACCATACCAAGTAAATTTGGACTTATGGGTCCCATACTAACAAGACTAGGCACCACTGATATATGCTACACAGAATGACTCTGCGGTTTTCATAGGTTTTATTTGATCAGTTTATGCAACTCTCTGAAAAGTTACAATCAGGGATTTTTCTCTCTCCGTCCCAGCACACAGTTATTGCTTGACGCACAGTGAGTTTGTGAGATAAACTTGAGTACCCATGATACTCTGAATGACTGGAACTGCTACCATGTGGTCTGTCATGACAGATCATTGCTTCTTACTCACCCGAAGCAGATGCCACAAATAGGAACCAATATGGGAAGTGAGAAGAGTTTGTGATGTGAAGCTCATCACATTACAACTAATTCTAGCCACCTGCAGGTGTGAACTTATCATGAAAGGCCTGGTTGGTTGAAGACCCCTAGGACTCTCTTAAGGAAGAAAGATGCATGAAGTTACATATCGAATTCCTCTTACCTGTCCCTTTCTTTCCAAAGCAAGGTTTCTTTGCAGGAATCAAGAAGAGGAGAAAGCCAAGGAAGACAGAGACTGTAGCATCAGTCCGGTAGCCTTTCCTAGGGAAGATACATGGAATTGTTTTACAAGAGGAAAGAGTATCAGGAAGCTACTCTTTTTCATCTCACTACAAGGACAACTATTTTTTTCTGTGCTGTGCCTTCCAGGAGATCTGTATGTTCCAGCTAGTGCTGGGGAGAGATCAATAGCTAGCTTTTATATTTCCGAAGGGAGAGTGGCTATTTTAAATTGTTTCCTTCTCTGTTCCCATGACCTCCAGTAGTCCTTGAAATGTGCTCTGAGCCCAGCTCAACAGAATTAAGTCTGCAATTATTCCTGGTGTCCATCACAAAAAGACCATAAACCAGAGGTGTCAAACTCATTTGTTACGAGGGCTGGATATGACATAAATGTCAGTTTGTCCATGTATGCAATAAAATGTAATGCCAGGTACTAGAGATACAAACTTTATAAAGGGTATAGGCAAACCCAATTAACAATATTATTTTTTACTCGAAAGACAAAGGAAAGCAATTGATTCCTAGCAGTGAAAGCAATTGATTTACTGGGGAACCCGCAAAAGCCTGGCTGTCCCAGATCCCTCCCCTGACTCTCATCCCTCATGCATATCCCACAGAAGCAGCAGGGCTGAGGAGAAGGCCTAACAGAGAGGCTGTTTCCAAAACCTCCAGGGGATGCTTTTCATCCTCCCATGACCCCTTTTTCCTCACAGGCTGAAAACAGGACCAGTTGCTTGCAGGCCGGATAAGAGCCTGGGACGGGCCAGTTCTGGCCCACAGGCCATATGTTTGACACCCCTGCCATAAACTGTAGACCTTGGGCTTTCCCATCATGTCCTAAAACATGTCCTCGCCCCCTTTTTGGGTGCTGAACATCTAGCCTTATGAGGAGTTCTGGGAATGCTAAAGCTTGTAACAATTTGATTGTTCCCAATAAAAAAGGATTGAACAGTTGTTATAGTTCTGTTAAAGAGCAGAGAATTCACTAGAAAAGAGCAAGAGTCCAGTAGCACCTTAAAGACTAACAAAATATGTGGCAGGGAATGAGCTTTTGTGAGTCACTGCTCACTTATACAGTCTTTAAGGTGCTACTGGACTCTCGCTCTTTTCTACAGCTACAGAAAGACTAAGATGGCTATCCATCTTGATCTATCTCCGGAGAATTCACTGTTGGAGAGGGATACACAGGCAAGTGGGGGCATGTAGGTGGATGGACAAGAAGGTGGGCATGGGGGGGGGGGCTGGGCACTCTCTGACCAGTGCCCCCCAAAACCTAGAACCAGCTCTGCTAAATGGGCAAAGAACTTTACATACCTTCTCTAAGTAAAACTTACACCCCCTTTGTAAGCTATGGCAGTTTTTTTTTTTTTAAAGTTATTTCCAGAAGTAGCCTCAACCCAGCATACTTGGAGATCACTGATTAACAATGTGAACATTGGAAGCAGACTTGAACTGATTCAGATTGCTAACGCAATAAACCCAGTGGTTTTTGTGTGTGTGTGGTGTGTGTGTGTATGTGTATGTATGTGTATACATGTGCATCTGGAAGTCATGGTGACTGACCCCTACTGGGGGCCTGGAGGATTTTTAGAGAGGTGACTGAATAAAGCCTGCCCCCACCTCCCGACTGCTGGTATTCCAAGGAGGTCTCCCATCCAAGTACTTGCCAGGGTCGGCCTTGCTTAACTTCTGAGATCTGATGAGATCGGGTTTGCCTGGGCGATCCAGGTCAGGGCTCAATAAACCCAGTATTGTCTGCTGTGACTAGCGGAACCGCTCCGAGGATTCAGGAAGAGAAGTCTTCCCAACTGTCCTACCCATAATCCTTTTTATTGGAGATTATGCCCATGATGTCCCTTATATGTGCCCTATTACAGACTCTGAGATCAGCCATGGATGCCCTCAGTATAGGAAGACAGGAAGGAAAACAGGAAATCCCACAGTGCTGCTGCAGTGTTTATTATTTATTTATTTCATTAATTAATTTCATTAATTCATTATTTTATTTATTATATATATTTTAGGGCTTAGCACCACAAAGGTGGGGCTAGCTACATGGGTCCTCCCTACCCACTTCTCACTCTCTCTCTTTTTTTAAAACAATTTTATTGGGATATAATAAAAAAGTCAAACACATATCAAACTTACATTTGTTATATATCCTTTCCACCTCCCCCCCCTTCTTAGGCTTCCCACAGTGCTCCAACCTCCAGCCCATGTCTTAAATTCTATTATTTACTCCTTCCACCTTCATCTCATATCTATAGGTAACTTCTTTTTCAAGCTTTGTTCTTATACGTTATATATCTCTATTCTATTAACTTTTATATTTCAATAGTTATCAAAGCAAAGCAAATTGTCCTTCACATCCCAGTATTTCTCTAAATAGTCTTTCAGATCTTTCCAATCTGCAAAAAATTCTTCTGCTTCCAAGTTTTTAAGTTTCCTTGTCATTTTGTCCATTTCAACCATACCCACTTCTTACTCTCAATCCCAGTTGGAAATTTATTGCCAGAACACCTAGTCTGAGCAAGTCCACTCATATGCCACAAAGTAGGAACTTACTTTTCAAACAAAGATGACCAGCCTGGCACAAACCCTGGCTCCCTTGTAAACCAGAGCAATGTCATCAGGATGAAGAAGAATGCAGTCACCATCTCAGGATAACTGGAAAGGGTTTTAAAAAGAAAAAAGAAAACCAGGGAAGTATTGAGTACTGGAGTACAACATCTTTAGGTTTTGCTCACTCATTCTGTGAGAGATATATACTATCCTGGAGATTTTTGACCTTAATGTAATTGATGCCCAGTGATGTTTGCATTTGATAGTTCTTGCTTTGTGAAGAACATAATGGCTCATCTCAGACACGGTGCAAAACCATGGTTTCATTAATGATGGTTAGTGCAGGTTTCTGAATACAGGCCATTCCACTAGCTGTGGTTGGTTAGCGTCTGGATCTGAAGCTGATTTATTAACCATAGTTAGTCTCACGTACGGTTTTGCATGATGTTTGAATACAGATATTCTGGCTTAATCCTGGGTCATCCTTTGGTGATGCCCTCTGAGACTACGGAGAAGAAATGAAATGAAATCATCACTGCTTGAGGCAAAACAGGATTTGAGTGACTGTCTCTGAGATGAATCCTGATTTCAGAAACCAACCGCAGTTAAGATTCACCACGGTTTTACCTTGTGTCTGAACTGAGCCATTTACTGCATTGTTTTCATTGTCTCTTTGGAACACTCAGAAGCTTTTTAATATCTTGACTGTTAATTCTCTGTTGATAGACAAGTGACCTAGGGATGCCAGCCTCCGGGTGAGGCCTGGGGATCCCCTGGAATTAAGGCTCATCGCCAGACCACAGAAATCCGTTCCACTGGAGAAAATGGATACTCTGGAGGGTGGACTCTGTGGCACTGTACCTCGTTGAGATCCCTGCCCTCACCAGGCTTCACCCCCAAATCACCAGGAGTTCCCAAATCTGGATCTGGAAACCCTAGCAATCTGCAAGCATCTGGTTGCTATGGGTGGGTGGATTTGAACAGAAGAGTATTGTGGGTTTGGAGGGGAAGGGAGAGAGAACGTGAAATCTGAATTCTCAAACCTATACATATATGATCAGATTTTTCTAACTACATCATTCAGACACGCGTATTTTGGAACCCGAACTGTTTATGCCTGAAAGCATTTGAAATGGAACAGTTCTCCTTCTGCTTGTGAGGTTTATATCACAAATAATTGGGCATCTGTTGCATAGAACGCTTGCTTTGGCTGGCCTGCCTATCTTCAGAAGGGCCACATGTGACGCTTCCAGTCCAAGGATGAAAGTTGACTCCTTTGGGATTTTTTTGGCCCTGCTGCCCACTCAGGTCCCTGCTCCATCATCACATACACAATCGTCACATTTGTTTTACCTGATACTTCCCAGTTTCTCATACTCTTCCTGGATTCTCTTCTCTGACATCTCCTCCCGTTTGGTCTTCTTCTTCTTGCTCACTGAACACGTCTCTTTGAAACTGAAGATAATTTGGAACATTGAGAGAGAGGGCAATTAGTCGATAGTCTGAAGATCCCGGCTACCTAATTTCAGGATCCGCCTTGAAATTTACATATTGGACCCAGGTGAATTCTTGACAGCATACTCACTCAGCATTTGTGACATTTTCTGTTGTTCTGGGTGCCTTTGTATTCATCCTGCTGGCAACTGCTTCTTGGTGCCCTTTCCCCTCCTTTTCTATCACTGCCCTTAGCATCATCGGCCCCCACTGGCATTTAAGTCCAAGACAGGCCAGCATGGTTACTTACACTGCCATGCATAATATATCACAGGTGCCAGTAAACAAAATAAGCGGACTGTGGATTGCAACAGTCCTAAACATCTTTAAGGACAAGTGACTCCAAGAACAGTGAAGTCGAAAGAAAAGCAGAAACAACGGCACTGAGGAACAGAGGTAGCCAGGGGAAACACAAGGGCCAAACAGCATCAGAGCATGTCAGAATTGCCCTACTACTGCTGCATGTTTCATCAGATGTAAACTCTGTAAAACAAGGTGATAAGAGATTTATCAAGTGAGCCAGTTTACTTAACAGCTCTTTTGTTGATTGCACCATGCTATTGCTTATGAGGGTTACAGCTCTTTCTTCCCCCTGCTATGTTTAAACTGCCATGTGGTTGTACAATAAGCAGTTTATTGTTATCCTTTCATTAGGTGTATTAGACTACCGCTGTTACTGTGGTTTTATTGTTTTTAGTGCTGATTGTTTGTGTAAAGTGCCAGCAAATCACAGCCGGCTCATGGTGACCCCAGCAAGGGGCTTTCTGTAGGAAGGGTATTGTTTTTGGTGGTCCACATCCTTCTTTAGTTAGCAGAGTGCACTTGGCTTTAACATTGCAGTGCTTGTCCCAAATCTACCATGTGCTTGCAAGACTACAAAGTTACACAGAGCCATGTTTCAGTTTGAAATAAAATAAACCGCTTTATTCTAGAAATACATGCTTGATAGTGCAGGGTAGAGATATAGAGAGAGTTCCTATGCTATCGAACTAGGAGACAGATGCAGATGCTGAGAGGCATCTTGCTTCTCCACCTTGTGTGCATGGAAGGGAGAGGAGAGAGAAGAGAGGAGATAGAAATAAGTTGCTTTCCCCTAAAGAGTGTTGATCTACACTTCAAAGGGATTCTCAGTGACAGTAAACAGGAAGATGCTTAGTGTCTGCCTATCTGCCTGCGACTCTGTGGTCACTTGCTTCTGGAGGCTGAGGCGTTGGGACATCACATCTGGTACTTCCAACACTTTCAAGGCAAGTGAGAGGCAGAGAGGGTTTGCCATTACTTTCCTCTGCAGAGTCTTCCTTGATAGTCTTCCTTCCAAGTACTGACCCCTCCTTAGCTTCCAAGATCTGATGAGACTGGGCCATACCATGCTGATTTCCCTCCCTGTACTGATGATGATGATGATTATATTGCTGCTAGTGTAGTTTTTGTAAATGTGGCTTTACTGATTTTGTGTAGTGGATAAGTGCGTGGACTCTAATCTGGGAGAACCGGGTTTGATTCCCCACTCCTCCACTTGCACCTGCTGATGTGACCTTGGGTCAGTCGCAAGCCCTGGCACAGCTGTCCTTGAAAAAGAGCAGTTTGTGTCAGAGTTCTCTCAGCCCCACCCACCTCACAGGGTGTCTGTTGTGGGGAGGGGAAGGGAAAGGAGTTTGTAAGCCGCTCTGAGACTCCCAAGTGAAGGGCGGGGTATAAATCCAATCTCCTCCTCCTCCTCCCCCCCTCCTCCTGTTGAGGTATGATCAATGTATGGTTGTCATTTGAATACAGGCTTTTAATGCATTGTTATTTATTAGAAATGACTCTTAAAGATTAGTAAAAGCTGCCGTGCATGCACAGAGCAGAGTGGTGAAGGTAAACTTATTAGATACAGTCAATAAATATTTGTCTGCTAGGGTTGCCAGATCCAGACTGGGGAATGTCTGGAGATTTGGGTGGATGGAGCCTGGAGAAGGCAAGGTTTGGGGAGGGAGGGAGGGACCTCAGTGGGGTACAGTGCCACAGAGTCCACCCTCCAAAGCAGCCATTTTCTCCAGGGGAGCTGATCTCTGGAGTCTGGAGGTGAGTTGCAATTCTGGGGGATCCCCAGGTCCCACCTGGAGCCTAGCATCCCTAGCTGAATCCTGCCACATTCTTAGCTGAATGTGAAGCCTTCTGCTAGGGGAAGAGCCTCTTGCACCGTAGGAAGAATCTTTTTGGCAAGAGAAGGTCTCCTTCTACTACAAGAAAGCACTCCACTTAGTTGAATGGAGGGGTTAAGATCCAACCGATTATTTGATTCTCTCAATAATATAAGCTATCATCGGTATCCAGACCATAATGGCCTTATAAAGAGTAAATTTTTCTATGGCTACCCCTTTCTGCTCTGAGCCGACTATATATTGTTATGTCACATTATTTGGTTGCCAATGCTGGGTGGGAAATTTCTGGAGATTAGGGGCTGGACCTTGGGGAGGGGAGGGAACTCAGCAGGGATGTGATGCCACAGATTCCACCCTTCAAAGCTGCCATTTCCTCCAGGGGAAGTGACTTCTGTAGTCTGGAGATGAGCTGTCGCTCCAGGAGAACTCCAGGCCCCCAGCTACATACTCCTTGAGCGCCGATTCGATTGAGTGGTTTTAGTTGCCCCTCAAGGATGCAATCCAGTAGGAATATTGATTGCACAGACCCATAGAAACGAGTGGGGCTTGCACAAGAACAGGGATTGGCCTATTACATCGTGCAAGAGTCTTATAGGGTAGGCCAGTCCTGCTATTGTCATGTAGCAGGTGAAGGAAGAAAGAAAAGGGGGCGTTGCCTAAGGCCGCTCAGCAACTTGGTTGATGAGATGAGAAATGAACCAGTGAAATCCTCCATCCCAGTTTAGCCACTATGCTGTGCTCGTGGGCACCAAACTGAGTGATTTGCCCAGTGATTTGCCAAGAAGTTTGAAGCTGTGCCTACCAAGGCTAGCCACGTAACCACAGCACTACACGGTTTCCTAATTAAATCTTCAGATAAACATATCAAACAATAGTCAAGGACAGAGTACAGTAAATTATCTGGAGGACCATCAGCCAATGCCATCGGGAAGGTCTCCGCGCCCCAAATCATTGTGTTGTTTGACAAGGAGGTTATCAGAGGTGGCCTGGTCTGACTTAGACTATTTACAGACATGAGCAAGTGAGCTGTGAGTAATTGAAAAATCCACTTCAGTGTAACTGAAGGGTAAATGTCACAACCAAACGGCTTCTGCCTTTTCCGTACCAGTGAATAAATTTTATGCTTCTATTTAAGAAAGGCAATAACAAGCACATTATATGGTTGGGTGGACTGAAATCTCATCTACATATATATGCAAATCAGGAGCATCCCTTGAGATCAAGGAGATCATTGTTGTGGTATTGGGGAGACTGGACATCCTAATAAAACTGAAGCTGCCACAAACTTTCCTCCATCATCTTTCTTTGCCCTTGTGTTGCTTGTAACTGCGCCACTGAACACCACCATACTCTTTTCGTGTCAGTTTGCTTGAGATGATGACCAATTTGGTTTTCTTTTCTTCTTTTAGGACTGTTCGTAGCTGTGTTACTTTCTCCATTGGTGCTTGTTTTACTGCAGTCTTGCTCTATGGCTGTGTTTCCCAACCTATGGGTCGGGACCCAAAACTGGGTCACAAAACCTCTGAGAGTGGGTCACGGGCCAGCCCTCCCTAATGTCCCCCCACCCTTCCCCCCGCCCTTTCCACTGCTCTCTTTTGTATTTTGGAAAACGAGATTTGACCCTGGAAACTGTATCTTCGATGTCATGTGTTAGTTGGTATTTTTTTCTCCACTGCATATACATGTTGATCATGTAAAACATGTTCTGAGAGTTACTAGGGTGAGTTTCTTAAGGGGGATTAGAGGGGACTAATGGAAGAGGAAAAAGTGGTCAGAAGCTGGAATGTAGCCTCCATATGCAAAGGCTGTGCATGTCAGAATGCCACTTGCTTGGAGTCCGTAGTGGGGGCAGCCACACCCATTGCAGTTTGTTGATTTCTCAAAAACATCTGGTTAGCCACTGTAGAAAATGGAATGCTGAACTGGATGGACACCAAGGTCATAATTTGCCTAGGGCACCAAAAAACCTCAGGCCAACCCTGGATGGGTCACCATACCAAGTCAATTGGGCTTGTTGGGTCACCATACCAAAAAAGTTGGGAACTGCTGATCTATGGGATATTTAGTAATGGACAGCTTACCCTCTCTCCTGTTTTCTGACTTGGACTGCTTCCACACAGGCACAGTTCTCCATGGGGAAAGGATGTGGCTGAGGTAGTTTCTCCAATTAAGTTAGTAAGAATGGTTCCTGCTATCTCTGTGGCAGGCTCCTGCTTTCTCTCTAGCAGAACCTCTGCTGTGGAAAAGGCTACCCAAGGACAGGAGGAAAGCCCCAATTCTGCACAGGTTTCAGAGGCTGTGATGGATGAGAGGCAGAGGGGCAAGAGATGCTGTGATGGATTGCACAGGAAAAAATGCTGCTTGTTTCAGAGAATCTGGGAGTTCAGGAGTTAATTTTCCCTGGAGTGGAGAGCTTATTTGATTGGCTAATCCTGTCACCTGAGCTGCGACAACATCCATCTCTTGTCTGATGCTTATCTTTTCTCTCTCTGTTCTCCCTGTCTGCCTCATTCACGGTTTAAATTTAGACTGCAAGCTTATCTGGAAAGGGACCTGTCTTTTCTTTATTTCGCTCTGAGAAGTACCAGGTATGTTGATAATCCCATCCAAGGAAATAAATAATAATTTCTTGCAATCTCCCAGTTAATGGGAAGGATCATGCAGTCCTGTGGTCGGACTTGAACCTAGTGATCTTGACCTTACCCTTTGGTTAACCTTTGGTTAAGTCCCTTCAAGTTTTATTTCCTCTGCAACATGCCAGTAATACTGGGGCTTTCTCACAGGGCTGAGAGACAGAATGCAAGTGCCAAAACAAAATCTTAGAAACAGATAAGATTCCATGGACTAGAGTAAGGTGAATCCTGGGTTAAAGAAAATACTTTTTGTCTGTGTCTCTTCCAAGAGGTTTCAGTGCTAACTTTCTAGCTGAATACATTCTTGAATGAACTGCCCAAAACAGGAGCCAGAGATTAAAAAGCCTCAGAATCTGCTAATGTTTCATAATAAATTGCTAGCACTTTAATTCTCGTATGGATTAAAAAAAAGTGAGGCTGGATTCTTGGAATTGCAATGTAGAATTTAAATACTCTTTGAGAAAGAGCTGAAAGAATTGTGACTCATGTTGGGACTTGCAGGAGGATTATAAATTATTTCTGATTTATTACAGCTCATTTTTTATTGGGAAACAGAAGACTCAGGAGACTGTACCGTAAAAGCCTATGGAGCAGTTCAAAGCCAGGTAAAGCTAGCTGTAACTGGAGATCATTACCATCTTCCAGCTATTCATGTACTAACTAGCATAAAAACATTTAATCAAATTTTAATGGCTGGTTTTCCATTTTAAAAGCTCTCAGTGTGAGGAAGACTTTTAAAAAAACCACTAAAAATAATGTATACACAATACACTACTAAAAATTAATACACTAGCTAAGATCAAGCTTAACGTTTTAAAAATGCAAATGTCTCCGCACTGGTAGCCTGGGAAAGCATCTGGATAGAAAAAAGCTCATAACCTGTCCATGGTAGGAGATGAAAGAGTTTGTGAGGTAAATCTCTTTGGACGGCAAGTTGTGAAGAATGGGTGCCCCACTCTTCATCACAAGCAATCTTAGACCTGGAACAACCTCTCCCCCATTAATCTCAGGAGGCAGAGAAGAAAGTTTGGGGGAAAGCTTTTCTTATGTCACTGTAGATTTAGGTAATGTAAGGTCATATTATGTCTATCACTTGTGTAAAGGTAAAGGTTCCCTTGCTCGAAAGCCAGTCGAGTCCGACTCTAGGGTTGCGGTGCTCATCTCCGTTTCCAAGCCAAAGAGCCAGCGCTGTCCGAAGACGTTTCCGTGGTCATGTGGCCGGCATGACTAAACACCAAGGTGCACGGAATGCTATCACTTGTGTAAGGTCTGTTAAATAACTATGCTTCCCCTACATGTTAAGCAGTGATCACAAATTGTTATTTTGTGATGGTGTGAGGAAATGAAAACACTTCTTCATTCCCTCAGGTTACATTTGAAGCCATCTGCTCTGTAGGTCTCTTTTTTGAAGCTCTTTGCTTATGGTGCTTGGATTGGCCTGGATTTGTTGGTAGACACATGTGATAACTGCAGGAAAAGACCACTGTAATACCCTCAGCTTTCCTCCCTGACTACTTTGCCCTCTACAGGGTAAAGCAGGGTTCCCCAATGCAGTGCCCATGGCTGCCATGTCACACCCTCCAAGCTTTTCAGAAAGATGGTGTGGCCATTGTAAGGAAGAGCTTGTTATTGGCTGACCTCATTCAAATGAAACGGTTTTCCACTGGAAGATTGGGAGGAATGGTAAGCACCTGGGCTTTCTTTAGTCAGCATGTGGTTCCATTCTACCTTCAGGCTTTCCTTCTTCCTGGGAGGTGTGAAGAGGGAGGTATTCCATTCAGGTCCACCTCCTATAACAGCCATTTTGTGTTTGGCTCCGCCTTCTTTGGCAGCCATTTTGGGGTGGGAATTCTGAAAATTCTAAAGGTGCCTGCAGACTCAAAAAGTTGGGGGTAAAGTAAGTAAAGAAGTGCCTTGCTTCTTCCCTCTGCCCTTCCCACTCAGCAGTGTAAGGAAGCCAAAGCCAAAGAGTGGAGTAGAGCAATGCTACTCACTCAGTGAGGTTATTCCCTCAGTTCCTTTGCCCCGCAGAGAGTGAGGAAGAATCAGAGAAAAAGGCCATTCCTTCCACAAGTGTCTCATGACAACAAGGAGGAAATCACTATAAGGGCAGGAACACACAGAGCACAGTTTCATGGATCCCTCCTGCTTCTTGTCAGCTTGTTCAAGAATACTTTTAGCCACTGGACAAACATCGTGGAATGGCTTATTTGAAGACTTGTAGAGGACATTTCACTCCATATTTCCCAAAGGGATGTGTACATGCATTTTGCTTCAGAGCCTTCCTTGGAGGCTGGTGGAACTGGTTGACATGAAAGGTGTTATAGGGGATGTGTAGGGGATACTATTCTTTGCCTTATGTTGCTTTATGCTTTTATGCTTCTGTGTGTGGTATTACTGGTATAGTTTTAGTTACAAATTGTATTGGCATTGGGTCTTGACTCTTTGGAGAAAGGTGGTATATTATTGCCCTGTGTAAAGAAATAAAATGCTTGTTCTAATCATTTCAGAGTTTCTAGGACTAAGATCTGCTAATGTGTTGTTCAAGCTTAAATGTCATTGGTTGTTAGCAAAACCTAGGCAGCTGCTGTGTGATCTGCCATTCTGGATCAGGGACTCTTATGCATCTCTTGCACAACTTACTTGCAACCCAGGAACAGCCAGTGCATCCAGAACCAGGTCAGCACCAACATGATGAGAGAGATGGGGAAGCTGAACAGGAACCAGGTTCCAAAATTCACCACATCAGCATTGGGATAATGGCTGTAAAGCAAAGGACCTCATAAGTGATCAAGGAAATGCATCTTGTGCCCACATCTCACCAGTTTTTTTTGTCACAACTGCCTAGGAACATCTGAACTGCAGAGTTTATGTTTTATTTTTCTGCAAGTACAAAATGCACTCAGGGTAAAACGAACACACACACACACACTTTCACTTATACATTAATTGTCTAGGAATGGTTCACACATGGTGGATACAATTCAGTTGGGTAGCTGTCCTGATCTGAAGTGGCAGAACAAAGTTTGAGTCCAGTGGCACCTTTAAAACCAACCAAGTTTTATTCAAAGTGCAAGCTTTCATGTGCAAAGCACACTTCTGCAAACAAATTGGACACGTCACAGTTCTGTATGCTTGAGTGACTGGCAGCTGAATCTGCAAATACATTCCCCTAAAATGTACCATATCAGGCAATATAAGACATATAAATGTATATATAATGTGTGTGTGTGTGTATATATTGCAGATATAAATGTGTGTGTGTGTATACATGCACACACATACACACACACCCCTTGAGATTGCCTTTCACACGTGCATGCCTTAATCAGTGATAGAGTCATAATTTGTTTGTGTGAAATCATCTCTTAGAGCAGAGAAAGGAAAAACCATGGACAAAGTGGCCATCAAATCCACACACGACATTTCAACATGTGCATAAAGATGGGGCACTCGGGGAGGAATGAAACAAACAAGCAGACAAAAAAAGGTCAAATGAGACCAAATGTCAGGACTGTCATGTTTTGAACTCCCAAGCATTTCCCCTTTATAATCAGCAGGTCACAGAGGGCTCTGATTTTGATCAGGACCACAATGTGGATAGGGTCTTTTTACCTTTCCTCCCATGATGCATTCTGACTTGAAATAGCTGATTGTTTCTCAGCCTTTCAGCTAAGAGCAAGCTTAGTGTGTAGCCTTGAAACAGTCCCAGAATGCTAGTTATTGGTCCTGCTGGTCTAAATAGAAAGGCTTTCTTTTTGGCCCAACAGTGTGCCCTGGTTCTCCAGAAAGCAGGTTTAGTGGTCAGACTGCTGGACTAGAATCTGAGACACCCAGGTTCAGATCCCCCGCAAAGGTCACCGGGTCACCTTGGGCCACTCCCTCTCCCTCAGCCCCCCCCCCCCGAATTGTTGTGATGGTAAAATGGGGAAGGTAGAACCATGTTTGCCACCCTGAGCTTCTGGAGGAATTAAGGTAGGTAAACAGATTTCTCCTTCCACACTGTAAATCAGGGTTGCCAGTTTCCGGTTGGTTGGAGGGCATTCTCCTGGAATTACAACTGATCCCCAGACTACTGAGATCAATTCCCCCTGGAGAAAATGGCTGCTTCGGAAGGTGGACTGTGTGGCATTAGACCATTCTGAGCTCCCTCCCTCCCTCCCTTTCCCAAACCCCAACCTCCAGGAATTTCATAACCTGGAGTTGGCAACCGTGTATAATCCCCAAACTGAATTGGGCATAACAGCTGTTCATGCAAAAAAAAAAAAAAACCCGGCAGCTCCAAACTCAGCCATCTAAGGATCTCAGCTAGCTGCCGTCTTAATAATCAAAAGCAGGTATCCCAAAGTACTAGCCGTCAACTTTAACAAACTACAGAAGCTAACAGAGACACTAGTGGGGCTTGGGAAAATAAATGCAATGATGTAGAAGAAGATGGCATAGACAGCACTCAGATGCAAACTGCTCATCACACGGAGATGAGCATAACAAAATCCCAACTATTTTTTAATTTTTTTTGCAAAAATGAAAAGTGGCCGTGGGAAGAAGTGGGTGACAATGAGAGTAGAAGCTTAAGCCCAGAGGTCATTTTGGGGGGGATCGCAGGGGATCGCAGTTCCCCCGGGTGAGGGGTGGGGGGCGGGGCACACGACGAAGCCCCACCCCCTGCTTCTGGCCGCCCCACTTCCGACCCTCATTCAGCCAGGAGGAGGCAGGAGAAGAGGGAGGGTAAGTTGCTTCCTCCCTGCCTCTCCCCACCCCTGCCTGCCTGGGGCCAGGGAGGGCCTTGGCGGGGCTTCCTCGCACTCCCACCGGCCTTGCAGGTCCACCGCCGGGCCTTATGATGTCAGGGGGTGTGGCATATGCTAATGAGTTATGCTAATGAGTTCTCCTAGCTCTTTTTCTACGAAACGACCCCTGCTTAAGCCCTTTCCTCCCGGCTTGTTTTTCTACTCAAACAGCTCTTAGTTTCATCACGCTGCTTTCCCCCAGCCCAGGAGTTGCAGATACAAATGTATTATTTTTTTTTTTTGCAAACAGACACTTTCAGTGTTGTGGAGACTTTGGGGATGTCATTTTGAATGGGGAAATGGCCAGTGAGAAATGTAAGGATGGCTCATGGGCTGTAGCTAATCAATGTGTTCCAACATTTTCCCTCTTCCTCTCCCAAACAAAATAAGCAGAATGTTTTGTAGGAGACTTGGGGAGAGGGATGAATATGGTGGATTGATCTATGGCTTGTGGATCTTATTACTGCCTATACTTTCCCAAGAGGCACGGGTAAATGGCAGGGATAAGCAAGCTAATGTGGCTGAAATACCCAGGAATTCTTTGTCTATTCAGATAAGACTAACCCTAGGGCTATCTCACTCATTGTACAGCAACAAAATCAGATTTTTCACCAAGTAGCAATTAAACAGGAAGCTGCCACCAATCCTAGTCCTGCTGCCCATTCACAAAGGTCACACATGAAGCTGCCTTATAGTAAATTTGTCCATCAAGGTCATTGTTGTCTCCAATCCTACCAGAAGTGGCTCTCCAGGGTTTCAGCACCTACTGCCTATTCCTTTCTAACTGAAGATGTTGGGGATTGAACCTGGGACCTTCTGCACATAAAGCAGAGCCTCTTCCACCAAGTCAAAGCTCCTCCTCTTATCACAGTCCTTGGTCTCTGCCTTTGCAGACGATGAGGGCAATGACCAGAAAGGTTTCTCCTGTCATGATGCAGTGGTCTTTAGAACACCCTCAGAGGTCCTCCTGGTGCCTTTGTTACAAAGACTTCAGCTCCAGGGAAATACCTTTTAAGTTGCTTTTGCTGATTCTTTTTCAACTAATTTGTTCTGCTCTAGCTGATGGCAATCCAGTGGTTCATTACTCGTTCTGATCATGTTACTGTTGAGCTATGTTTACACTGCATAATAATATGATTCTTATTGTGATTGTTCTCTGTAAGCCAATTTGAGCATATTTTTGGGGAAAGTAAGCATAATTATCATATCAAATGGACAAGGGCTTACTTTCTATACAGACAGAAGTGCAACGGTGCCGTTGTGGCAACAATTTATAGCTCTGAAAATTTGGGGATACCCCTAGGTTTAGGAATGCCAGTTCCGGGTTGGAAGATACCTGGAGATTTTGGTGGTGGAATATGGGAAGGGGACGGACTTCCATGAGGTATAATGCCATAGAGTCCACCTTCCAAAGTGGCCATTTTCTCCAGCTGAAGTGCTCTCTGTTTCCTGGAGATCATTTGTAGTAGCTGGAGCGTGTCCAGAGGAGGGCAACCAGGATGGTGAGAGGGTTGGAATCCAAGTCTTCTAAGGAAAGGCTCAAAGAGTTGGGTATGTTTAGCCTGGGAAAGAGAAGGCTTAGAGGGGACACGATTGCAGTCTTCAAGTCTTTGAAGGGCTGTCATGTAGAAGATGGAGCAGATCTATTCTCTCTTGCTCCGGATTGCAAAACTAGATCTAATGGGTGGAAATTACAAGGGAGTCATTACCGGCTAAATATCAGGAGAAACTTCCTAACTGTAAGAGTTGTTGAGCAGTGGAACAGTCTGCCTCGGGAGGTGGTGGATGCTCCTTCGCTGGATGTTTTCAAGCGGAGGCTGGACGACCATCTTTCGGGAATGTTGTAGGTATGTAGGGCTATCTTTCAGCTATGTTCTTGCATAGTGCATGAGGTTGGACTAGATGACCTTTAAGGTGCCTTCCAAATCTAACATTCTATGATTCTATGAGATCTCCACTCACCACCCAGACATTGGCAAGCCTACCCAGGTTGGATGAAATATCAAAAGTTGGATTCGGTAGAGGTAACGGCTACCAGTAACAGTGGGAAAGAAAGGGGGAGAACTGGATTTTCTATCCCACACAAATCTTCCTCGGTCTCCCCTGATTTGTAATAGTAAGAAGAAGGACATATTACCTATATGGAACTTGTGTTTTAAAACCCCTGCTTGCCATACATATACTTCACATTTTATGTGTACATTAAAAAAAAATCTTGAGCATAGCTCTGTGTGAATTGGCCTTTAGGACAGCCATAGAGACAACATTCCTTCTGGCTATATAAATATGCACTGAAAATCTAGACTGGATTTTATTTTGCGGAGCTCTCGGTAATATTTTTCAAAACATCTTACAGAAATTCTATTGCTCTTCTAAAGCTTTCTTTAAAAAAAAAACCCTTAAAAGTAAATTTGCACAAAAATGTTCATAAAATCTGATCGTTTTTCTTGCGAAGTCATTTAGGCACGCCTTTGACTTCATTAATTCCCATTTAATTTTCTTTATATTGTTTGCTACATTAAAAAAACATAACAATTGTTGCACTTTAAAGATTATTACTTTGCAGGGGGAACAAATTACTTGAACAGATGGAGCTATCAGTCCAGAGTCTGCAGAGATAAAGAACTGGAGGTAAGTGTAGATCTTTTTCCAGAAAGATGAAACAGCATACTGTTAAGAATAGTGAACTAGGACAGGACGTCAGCCTGTTCAAGTTTCCATTTGCCATGAACTCACTGGGGAAATCACCAAGGGAGCAATCTTAAGCAGGTCTACTCAGAAACAAGTCTCATGTTATTTGATGGAAATTATTTCCAGGAAAGTGTTTTTAGGATTGCAGCTAGGGATGCCAGCTTCCAGGTTGTGCCTGGAGATCTCATGGGTTTGCAACTGATCTCTAGGCAACAGAGATCAATTCACCTGGAGAAAATGTCTACTTTGGAATACCCCATTTGAAGCCCCTCCCCTCCCCAAACCTGGCTGTCCTCAGGCTCTGCCCCCCAAATCTCCAGGTATTTCCCAACCTGGAGCTGGCAACTCTAATTTCAGCCCATGTCTTGGCCTCAGTTCTCCATCAGTAAATCAGGGCTAGCCGTGGTGTCCCTGCAGCCCTGTTACAAAGTTTACTAAGAGAATTCACATGAAGCTTTTTGTGCATTCAATCTGAAATCAGTGGAATTGAGTTGTGTGTCAATATGTTTTGAAGCTGGCTATCAGGTAAAAAAAATCAGAAAATACTGGGTTGTTTCCATGGGCGAAGGATTTTTGCCCACAGAGTATAGTTTCCCAGCCTTCTCCCTACTTTGGCCATCCTGCCTCTGAGCTGGTCACTTCTTTCCAAGCAGGCACAGGGAGTCTCCATTGTGCAGGCCTCCAGCAGACCAAGCACTGTCTTCCTTGGCCATTGAGGCCATGGGATTGCCGGGAGCCACCTCTCTCCTGACAGTGCAGGCCTTGGGCAAGCCAGGAGACACGTCCCCCAGCTTGGCCACATGGGCTTTGAGCCAGCCAGGGGCCACCTCCCCCAGTCACATGGCCTCGGGCACAGCAGGCACCTCCTTGCGTGGATGGACCACATGCTGCCTTGACCACATGGGCCCTTCTTATCACTAGGCTGCCTGGCCATTGGCCCATAGCAGCCCTAATGGCCAACCCACTGCTGATATCCAGGCAGGTTGCCAATATCTAAGTGGTGGCTGGAGATCTCCTGGGATTACAACTGATCTCCAGGCAAGAGAAATCACTTCACCTGGATAAAATGGCCACTTTGGAAGGTAGACTCTATATGGTATTATACCCTATTGAAGTCCCTCTCTTCTCCAAACCCTACCTTCCTCTGGCTCCACCCCCTCAAATCTCCAGGTATTTTCCAACCTGGCGCTGGCAACCTTATGTCCATGTTGCCTATCAGTCTTAAAATGTCATTCTTCTTCTTTTTCCTAATCTGACTAACTCTTTGGGAACTACATTCTGATCCCTTTTAGGCCACAGCTACCAAGCGTGAGGTTTGTTGAAGGAGAAACAGCCTGTCCCTCAGAAGTCGCGACAAGGCCTCTTGATCATGGGTCCCCCCCCACCTTTTGATAAATGAGTGTATGCTAAGTGTATATCACTTACTTGTTAAAATACTCTAGGAAGATGAGGTTAGTGGAGGTGCCGATGATGGTGGTGAGTCCCCCAATGGTTGCTGCATAGGAAATGCTCAGGGAGAGGCATTTGCAGACCATCTGATCGTGTTGGGACTGATAGCGGCATTCACGGCGAAGGTCCAGAGTTTGAGGTTTGGGTGGGAGAACAAGGATCTGAGCCTGTAAAGAAACCCCATACTGTAAGTACAAACCATTTCAGCTCTGTGAGCACATCTCTCTCAAAACAAATCAGCTGCCCATTGCTAATTTGCCCATGTTAAAGTGGTTTTTTTTTTAAAATAGCTCTTGAATTTATCAACTTGGTATGGAGGAAATGCTATCAGATTCCATTAGACTCCACTCCACTGTGTGGCAGAATCATTCATATGTCAGATATATAAAATCTGTATAATGGAGGCCATGATATACCACAACTGCAGAATACTGATGCAGATAGTTCCAGATGACTCAGAACATACCAAAATTGAGGACTGAGGAAAAATAAATAAGAGATGGTTACCTAAAGCTGTTTCTTTAAAACAGTGTTGTTACTGTGCCGTTGACCTTAGGATGGCCATGTCAGAAGGCTTATAAGGCATTACAAAGGTTAGGTTTGTCTAGGAAGAAAGACTCCCTGGGTAGGAGGGGACTGGGAGATATGCTTATGACCAGGGCTTTTTTTTTTTTCCCCTTGGGGAACATGCCAGAACAGAGTTCCGGAACCTCTTTGACAAAATTATTTTTAAAATGTTTAAAAGTTCATGAGTATACAGTTTCAGTATACAGTTTGAAAACGTCATTTCCCTCTTGAGAGTTCCAGCACCTCTTTTTCAAAAAAAAAAAAGAGAGAGAGAGAGAGGCCTGCTTAGGACACTTGACCAGGACTATTCTCAAGCTACAAGCCAATTACCATGATATGGTCTTTTCCCGTCCTTTCTGAAATAAAATAGAAATCTTTCTTTCATGACTCAGGGAATCATGCCTGGGCCTTGCTAAAGCTTCTGAATGTCTGCAGATTACAAACAATCAAAGTATAAGAACAGGCAGCTTCTTTTCTGTAGAAATGGGAAGTCTCAGTCAGGACTTCCAAGTCTTTTTGACCCAGCTAGCTTCAACATTAAACCACATTTAAGGAGGCCACTGACAGTCTTGTGACAAGGCAATTTAAACGAAGTTATAGCAAACCACATTGGTAGAGGTTTGATTATTATTTTTTTGACAGATCTTCTGTATCGGGAAATGTTGAGAATCTCAGGATCAGCCCTTCTGCTTCTTGCAGTGGCAAACCACATGTTTGTGGACCTGAGCAGAAATACCAGCGGTCGCTATTACCGGGCATTGTGGCAGAAATTGAAGTGTGAGCATAAGATAGGTCGGACCACCATGCCCTGAGGGCCCATCTGAATGCTCCACGCCAACCCTGTTTAGGTGGCGAGCTAATTTTGGTTCGCCCGCGAAGTCAAATGGACCCGATGCAGTTCCAGATGGCTCTGTGGGATCCGAGGCCCCCTTGTGGTTCGTTGGATGAGCTGGTGGAGGATTAGAACTGCCGACTCTTCTCAGCCATCGATGAGATCACTCCCAGGTGCCCTCTCCGCACTCGTGATAGGCGAGCACCCTGGTATACCCAGGAGTTGCGGCGGCTGAAGCAAGAACTGCGACGGCTAGAGAGATGGTGGTGCTGTGCTCATGACGAAGTGTCAAGAACATCCTATAGGACGTTTATGAGATCCTATGAGATGGCAGTCAAGGCCGCAAAGAAAGAGTTCTATGCGACCTCGATTGCATCTGCTAGCTCACGCTCGGCCCAATTATTTAGAGTAATTCGGTCTTTGACAGCTCTGCCCCAGGGCAGGCAAAATGCTAGGGAATTGGATTTAGGCTGTGAGACATTTGCGAGCTATTTTGCAGATAAAGTCTTGGCTCTCCGCCACGACCTCCCCGCCACAATTGAAACAGTTAGGGAATTTGAGGCCCCTTGCGTGCCTTTGGTGCCGGGTTTAGTGAGTTTTGACCCACTCAGCCTGGAAGAAGCTGACAGGTTGCTTGTATCGGTGCGCCCAACCACATGCGACCTGGATCCGTACCCCTCCTGGCTTATTAAAGCAGGCCATGAGGGATTTCGAGGTGCACTGCGGGAGATTGTCAACAAGTCCCTCACCGAGGGACGGTTCCCTGGAGCACTCAAGGAAGCCCTCTCTTGAAAAAATCATCTTTGGACCTGGCCGAATTGGTTAACTATCAGCCGGTTTCCAATTTGCCCTATTTGGGCAAACTAATTTAGAGGGCGGTGGCGTCACTGATAATCTGGATGAGGCTTCCGTCCTTGATCCCTTCCAGTCTGGCTTTCACCCGGGCCACGGGACGGAGACGGTGCTGGTCGCTGATGATACCCAGCTCTATCTGATGTTAGGCGTCCAGACTCTGGTCCCGATGACCTTCATCGGGCGTTACAAGCTGTGGCTGGTTGGCTCAGACTGAGTCGTTTGAAATTAAACCTGGCAAAGACGGAGGTCCTGGGCCTGAGTCGGACTGGTCTGGGGTTGGGGCTCCCTCTCCCGGCCTTCGACGTGGTGCCGTTGGTGCCTGCGTGGGAGGTTAGGAGCGCTCCTGGACTCCTTGTTAACAATGAAGGCCCAGGTGGCAACCACTGCCAAGGTGGCCTTTTACCATCTGCGGCTGGCTCGGCAGTTGGTCCCCTACCTTGACCGTGAAGACCTGGCCATTGTGATTCATGCGACGGTTACCTTGAGACTAGACTACTGTAACGCTCTCTACTTAGGGCTGCCTCTGTCGCAAATCTGGAAGCTGCAGCTAGTGCAGAATGCTGCGACCAGGCTGTTGATGGGCCTCTCTAGGCGAGACCACATCCAGCCTGTGCTGCAAGCGCTGCACTGGCTGCCGATAGCATACCAGATTTGCTTCAAAGTGCTGGTTCTTACTTTTAAAGCCCTAAATGGCTGGGGTCCAGCTTACTTGAAGGACCGCCTCTCCCCGTATGTTCCCCCAAGAGCACTACGATCGGGGAGTCTCTACCTCCTGGAAGTCCCAGGCCCCCGAGACGTTAAGTTTGCCCCTACTAGGGCCAGGGCATTTTCGGTGGTGGCTCCTACCTAGTGGAACGAGATCCCAGAGGAGATCCGGGCCCTGCGGGACCTTGTGCAGTTCCACAGGGCCTGCAAGATGGAGCTCTTCCGCCAGGCTTTTTGAGTAGGAGCCGCCGCCGCCACTATTCCACCACCGTGGTATCGCTCCATCGTCTGCCCCTATTATGGGGGGCAAGCATCGCCTGGCAGAAGCGCGTAGAACAGCGCTGCTGGAGACCGCACTATGGAGACAGCTGGCTGCCGAATTGGGATCACTGTCCCCATCTTGGGTGATTTACATATAGGAAGATATCAGAGCACCTTAAACATTGTATGGGTTTTATTGTGGTTGTTTTAACGCTGTTTGTTTTATTGTATTTTATCTATTCAACCTGGCTTTGCCGTATGTTAGCCGCCCTGAGCCGTTGGGCGGGCGGGATACAAATCTAATAAATAAATAAATAGGGTTGCCACCTCTAAGCTGAGAAATTCTTGGAAGATTCTGGGGTTGGAGCCTGGGGAGGGTGGGGTTTGAGGAGGGGAGGGAATCCAGCAGGATATAATGCCATGGAGTCCACCCTCCAAAGCAGCCATTGTCTTCAGGGGAACTGATCTTGGTTATCTGGAGATCAATTACAACAACAGGACTCAGGAGGTCTTCAGGTGCCACCTGGAGGTTGGCAGCCCTAGCATAAGAACATCAGAAGGGCACTGCTAGATCAGGTCAATGGTCCAGGTATTCCAGCCCTCCTGTTTTCTACAGTGGCAAACCCCATCCCCATGGACGATTCATGAGCAGAGTACAGAAGCCTCCCCCTATGGTTGCTTCTAGATGTGGGCTACCCCGTGCTGATTTCTGCCTCTGCACAGGAGGTAATCTGTTTTTACCTGAGGTAGATGCTGCCCATTGGTTTTGGAGCTCACAGTTCCAATTGTGTTGGCTATCATGTGTACGCCATTCATGTTCTAAGGGAAGACAAATGGCCCTTCATTAGAGGTGCACGTGCTAATACACCACACATAAAAGAATCTTGATACAACCATATGTACGATCATATAAATATTTTATTTTGGCTGTGTTTTGACAGTGAATATCTGTGTATCAGTGAACAAGGGGAAGCAAAATCTTTGGCGAACTGCACACTTTTTGTACAAAGTTTAAAGGGGAGAAAGGTGGGGAACATCTTTCTGTTCTCTGGATAAGATCTGGCCTTTCCTCCTCTATTGGTGCACACTGAGCCCGGGTGTTGTCAAATGCACAAGTTTCTAGTGTGAGCCAGATGCATGGGTTTCTAATGTGTGCCAAAGGGCAAGAGCCAAAAAGTCCCATGGCTTGTTGCCTGAGTCCTTAAAGGCCCAGACTACACATTATGGGGTTTTTTTGTGCATTGGGTCCATATCCCGCTTACTTTCCCTGCAGCTGTACAGCAGCTGCAGAAATATCATTTTGAAAATCAGTGGAAGCTGGATATGGCCTGGAACTCCAGTGGGATGAATGTAGAAAGGACACCTGCCTTCCCCTTGTGCCACTTTGGCTCAGGGAAACATTGCCATGGGGGAGGCAGGAGCCCTTCCTCTCCCCATACCACAGTTCTGAGCTGAGCTGGGCTCCCACTGATTTTTCAAATAACATTCGCTGCAGCTGCTATGTGGCTGCAGGGGAACTAAACTGGGTCAGACCCAACTTGGCAAAAAAAAAAAAAATCGTGTCGTTTGGCCCTAAGTGAGTCAGGGCATTGGATTTAGGACTGACCCAAGATTTGACGTATTATATTTTTGGCTTGGGTCCCCCCCACCAACACTGGCTTATTTAAACAGTCATATTTGTAGGTCACTTTGGGTCACCGCTGGGAAGAAAAGTGTCCAAAAGTAGCAAAATAAATACAGAAAATAGAACAATGAAGCATCTGTATTGCACTGATTCCACTTCAGAGCCAAGACCAGGTAATTTGACTTCAGTGGGCTTTGAAGGGTGTAACTCTGCTTAGGATTGCACTGCAACAGACAGCAGGAAGGAATCAGGTTAGGCGGCTCAGGTAAAGCAAGCCACGAACGAATGCACAGCGCTGGATCCAAGGCTCCTGAAGTGACAGCAGCTCCAGCTTCCCCAATAAAAGTGACTGTCTGGCTTGCTTTCCTTCCCAGCCTTGTAAAAATGAAATTTTACACCTTCTCAAACATAACGCTTGTCAATCGGGACAGTTGGCACACTGAGCTGTGAGTCAGCAAGCACAGAAAGGCCGCGTTAGGAATGAAGAGTTTATAAATCAGCTGTTCCATATCCCAAGACCAAAAATTGGGACCAATATCCCTTCAGTCCTTCGATGCTATTAAAGCAAAGCTTACAACATCAACCCTTGAGAAGCATTAAAGTCACATCAAACACTCTCAGAAAGCATGATGTTCCTTTAAACACTGAATGTGGCACTCCTTCACCGAGGATAAAAAGAGGGAGAAAATAGCACAATCGTTATTGTAGTACTTTAAAGCTGTTTTCCGTCGCAGATTTGAGTGCCATTTTACAAAGGACTCGCACGGCCTCTCAAACTACCTTGGAATGCATCAGGGAGCTGAAGTTGGCAGCTGTGGTACTAAAAAGAGAAAAAAAAATAAAGCAGATGTTGAATCACAGCCCTTTCACTGGAACACAGCTTTGGGAGATGGGAATTTAGAGTAGGGGGGGAAATGACAGGAGGGAAGGAGGTGCTTCATCCTCTCCCTCTCCACTTCATTTGTGATTCTAAGTGGATTTCCTCCCAACACGGTTCATTAATGAGATCAAACATGTGCTGGAACTTTGCATTGGGGGGGGGGGGATAGCAGGTAGGGGATAGGAGGAAGACGCTTCAGCAGGGAAATGATGGGCAAAGAGAGGATGAAGCCATGACAGGAGTTTTTAACTCAGACTAGCTAAATATATTTTCAGGAATGTAAAATAAATACTTGTCAAATAAGCACACTTTGCCATTTCTCCAAATCCCACTCTCCCATGTCTGATTTTTTTTTTTAAATGGTAAGAACATAAGAAGAGCCCTGCTGGATCAGACCAGTGGCCCTTCTAGTCCAGCATCCTGTCTCACACAATGGCCAACCAATTCCTCTGGAGGTCCAACAACGGGGCAAAGAGGGTGAGGTCTTCCTGGTATGTTGCCTCCTGGCACTGGTATTCACAGGTTGACTGCCTCTGAATGTGGAGGTTCCCACATACTGGAGCTCTCTTGTGTATACTTATGAACGTTTCTTCTTTTTTCCATATGTTGCAAACTCCCTCATTTTGGTCATTTTTGTTGCTGGCATCCCCAATTCCTTTTATGCTATTATTAGACCATCGATCTGATACTGACATAAAAAAACAACAGCAATAATAATTATAGGGTAAATTTTATGGGGAGAAAATCAACAGAAGGAAATAAAAAATAGTGCAAAAATAACGTCTCATGGGTTCAATTTACACAAGGAGAAATCAAAATTAAACAGGAACCAGATAAACAGGGCTATGAAATCTGGGAACCTCCTGAATAGTTGGGAGGATCCCAAAATTTGGGAGCATCCTGAATAGTTAGCTCCTATGTAAAAAAAGAAAAGTTCTTGCATCACCAAATGTAAGTTTCTTCTTACCCTTTCAGTTGTTATGATTACAGCACTCCTACCTTGCATACTAGGAAAGCACACTGTGTGCAGTCCTCTCAATTCACACAACCGCTTTTTTATTACTAGGGTACCACATATATATGGAGCTGCGGTGGCTCAAGTGGTTAAGACGTTGAACTGCAGGCTGTGGAAGGTCAGTAGATCAGCAGTTCAAGACCCGGGTGCCGCAAGACGGGGTGAGCTCCTGTCTCTAGTTCCAGCTCCTGCCAACCTAGCAGTTCGAAAGCAAGAAATTGCAAGTAGATAAATAGGTACCACTTCGGTGGGAAGGTAACAGCGTTCCGTGCGCCTTGGCGTTTAGTCATGCCAGCCACATGACCACGGAAACATCTTCGGACAGCGCTGGCTCTTCGGCTTTGAAACGGAGATGAGCACCGCAACCCTAGAGTCGGATTCGACTGGCTTTCGAGCAAGGGAACCTTTACCTTTACCTTTTAGCACATATATTTTCCAGTTTTGTTGCAAGTACATGCTGAAGCCTGAAAAAATATACATTGCCCTTTTCACACAAAATTGCAAGCACACATTTTGGGATGTTCGTAGGTCTTGTTAACTGCTCCCATTAACTGCCGTATTAAGCAAGGTAGAGACACCAAAAACATAACCATTGCAAAGGACTTGGGAAACCACCAATTTCCTTTCTACATTTGGAAGGAAGCTGAAGAAGAGAAACCATTCATCCCCTGCGGTTCTCATTGTCACCTGCATGCAAGATGTCACCTTTTGCATTTTGACACCAATGAACATAATGATCATGAAGCCCCAGCCATCCAGACTTCATGTCACGCGTCTCATTATCCTCCCCATCAACTGATCTTCCCTGGTTTTTGCAATCTGATATTTGCTTTCCTGAGGTTACATTTAATCTCATTGTGACCTGCAAGGGTTCAAATGTCCATTAGAGCTGGACAGGCTTCGTTCTTACTCCTCGTTGATGAAAATAAGCTCCAAGGACGGTGGCCCATGTTTCTCCTCAATACCTGCAGAAGAGATAAAGGTGTGGGAGAGAGGTTTCATACACAATCATTTCAGAATTTTGCACACAGTATACCGAGGGCAGGAAAGGTAAATAAAAAGAATATAAAAAGAATCAACTCACATATCTCAGACAACCCCAGTGATGTGACATAGCACAAGGTGCCAGAAACAAAAATCTCATGGAGATTTTAAGTTTGGAGAAATGGCAGCACTGCAAAGTGTTGAAACTGATGTTGAATCACTGGAGATTTCCTAGAACTCAGATTTAGAGCATTGAAATCTAGATTTTCACACACAAACATAGCATGGACAGAAATCTACTTTCCACTGCAAAATATGAAGAAAGTGATTTTCATAGGTATGACATTAGCAGGTTCTTCAATGCTGAAAATTTAAATCCAATTTTAACATAAAATTCCTTTCACCTTGAATTATTGCCATATAGCATGTATTTTATGTGGATTGAACCATGTATTTGAAACAACAGATTCCATTGACCACACTGCTGATCTTTGCAGGTTATGAAGAGGCATGATCTTTGCAACATGGAGACATGTTAGAGACTTCCACTATGCTTTAATTCCCTCTGTTTCCTTTTGAACATGCCATAGGTGACCATACTGAATAGTTGTGTGACCAAAAAAGGGAGAAAAACACAATCCTACACGAGAAAGGTAACCAAAAAGGTTGAGACAAAGAAAAAGAAACTAAAATATAGCTATGCACATAGTGCTAATGTGCAAAATATCATATATATTTTAATTATACTTTCAAAAGTGCTAGAATATTATTTAAAATCCACAGTCCTATGGTTCTGCATATGAGTACCTAATCCTCCGGTATATATAATTCTATTTTGGTCATGGACTCCCCTGAACATTCCAACATGCTCCAAAATCAGTTCGCTCTGTGATCTGTCATTCAGAGGGTCTCCCTATCCACTGGCTGCTTTGCCTGAGTCCTGCCTCCAACATTCTAAACAGTTTGCTCTTCCTCTCCCCCCCACAGCCAGTCAGAACACAGAGGTCATTTGCATATGTGGCCTGATTTGTCTTTGCCTCGGAACACAGAGGTCGTTTGCATATGCGGCCTCCATGGCCTTTCCCTCTAACATTCTAAACAGTTTGCTGTTGATGTTCTGAGGTAAAATAAATTTCCCCTTAGTGTCGGTTGGGGGAAACCATGGTTGCAAATCTCCAGGTGAGGACTAAAGATCGCTCAGAATTACAACTGCTTTCCAGATGGCAGAGATCAGTTCCCCTGGAGAAAATGGTGGACTCTGTGTCCTTATATCTTGCTGAGATGGCCCCTGTATGACAGCCAATGTGATGTAGCAGTCATACTTCAGCTATTAAAACTGATGTCCAGATGACCCAGATCAGTTCTCTTGGAGACAATGGCTGCTTTGGGCAGTAGATTCTATGGCATTATACCCTGCTGAGGTCCCTCCCCACCCAAAATCCTGCCCTCCCCAGGCTCTACTCCTCAAATCTACAGGTATTTCCCAACCCAGAGTTGGCAACCGTGTAATTGGCTATGGAACCACTTTCCAGACCCTTGGAACCCAGAAAACGTGGCACAGGAGGAGGTGCTTTTCTACCTTAGCTGTGACTGCATAGCCGCAAATTAACATAAGCCAAACTCCAGGTGGCACTCGGAGATCTCCAGCTATTAAAACTGATGTCCAGATGATCAAGATCAGTTCTCCTGGAGACAATGGCTGCTTTGGGCAGTGGATTCTATAGCATTATACCCTGCTGAGGTTTCTCCCCACCCCAAACCCTGCCCTCCCCAGGCTCTACTCCTCAAATCTACAGGTATATTCCAACCCAGAGTTGGCAACCATGTAATCAGCTATGGTACCACTTTCCAGACCCTGCGAACCCAGAAAACATGGCACATGAGGAGGTGCTTTTCTACCTTAGCTGCCACTGCATAACACCCCCCTCCCCCACAAAAAATAAGTCAGAGGTGGAGAGAACCATATCTGTTACCATGAAGCTGTCCTCCCATTCTACCCACTTTTGGCAGCAAAATGACTTGAGACAGCCCTGCCTTATAGCTAAGCAGAAGGAAAGAAACATGGCTTGCCTCCCTCCATTTTCCGCTTCCCTCTGCCACCCCACCAGCCACAGCCGGGACACTCACCTGGAGCTTCCTTCTAGATCTCGTTGTACTTCTTCCCACAACGGGCATTACTCCTAGTTGTAATATAAACTCAAACATCCAATCATATAAATACAGGTTAAAAGGAGCAAATTATATCCATATACAAGAACCAATAACAAACGTGTTTTGGTTAAAAGCCTTCCTTAGTGGTAAAATTAACAAAAATATTTCAGTTAACTCATAAACTTATTATACATACACACACATATTAGGATTAGGTACTCATATCCAGAACCATAGGCTTGTGGTTTTTAAATGATATTCTAGCACTTTTGAAAGTATAATTAAATTATATATGATATTTTGTACATTAGCACTACGTGCATAGCTATATTTTAGTTTCTTTGTCTCAACCTTTTTGGTTATCATACTGAGTAGCTGCCTTCTTGGATCAGACCAAGGCCCATTTAGCTTTCTCTAACAGAGCACGGCCAGAAACCATAGGACATGGAAGTGAAAAAGATGGACACGGCTCTGGATCTAGATCAACTGCTCTATATGCAGAAAGTCCCAGGTTTATTCCCCAGTGATTTCATTTAAAGGATCTTGGATAGAAGGTGTTGGTCAGAGGAGTGGACAGCACTCTATTTAATTTATCCAAGCATTTTATTCCACTTTTCTCCTTAAGGGGAATCAAAAGAGGCTTACAAAACCACCAAAATACAATTTAAAAAAGGAAATAATTCAAACAAACAAAACACAATCTAAATAAACAAACCCACATATATGAAACCACATCCAGGGCTGGGTTTGGATACACTGAGCTGGTTCATGCAAGGCCACAGGGTATTAGCCACAGGTTCAGAGCAAAGGGCCAAGATCCCTTTGGTACTTGTCCTTTGGCTCATAGGAGGATAGAAGGACTGGCTTTCATCAAAACAGAAGTGACAGGTCCCCCTCATGCCTCCCCCCTCCGTCCCCCTCCCTGTGTATGCCCTCAACCCTCTCCCTCGCCTCCCCATTGGCAGGGACTGCCCACTCCCATGGAGGAATCTGTGCTAAGGTTGTCAGGAGTGTGGTTCCCCCCACCCACATTCCTCTCTTCTTCCCTTGCCTAAAGCGGGAAGTGGATTGGCTAATGTTCCCTGCCCCCCCTCCTTCCTCTACTCTGTCCCTTGTTTCACACAGGGATCTGATTGGCTGACGCTGGCCAAGCACACTCTCTCCCTGCAGGCAGAACTGCACAGTCTGAGCCCTGCAATCAGTCTCTCTCTGTCTCGCTCACTGAGCAGCCATGCTTTTTGGGCTCTCTGTGTTTTATTTTTAAAGGGTTTTTTGGGAAGGCATGGGAATTCTGGAGATTTCCACACAGGGGAGAAGGCTTTTGGGAGGTAGGGAAGGATTTGAGAAAAGGGGACTGAGAGAAAAATGCCTCTGTGTCTCTTTTTGGCTTGAAGTTGCACACTTTCCTAACACACTTTTAAAATAAAAACAACCGGCACACAGACCCTTTAAGTCTCCCAACATTACAAAAGCACTATGTGGTATCAAGCACATTTTCCCCAGTACAAAAAACACACAAAGGCTTTTCCCCAACGAACCCTGAGAGGTGGGGTGGGGGGAACCACACTCCTGACAATCCTAGCACAGATTTCTCCACGGGAGTGGCTGGTCCCTGCCAATGGGGAGGTGAGGGAGGGGGGCTGAGGGAATCCACAGGGAGGGGACGGGGGAGGTGTGGGGGTTTCTACTCCAGAGGGGGGCATGTCACTTTTGTTTTGGTGAACGCCAGTCCTTCTATCCTGCTCATGACAAAATATTCACACCTCTAGCCATAGCCAGGCTAGATACTTAAACTTGATGGCTGAAGGACTGACTTGACATAAAATAGCTTCATATTTTATTCAGCAACTAAGTCTGTGATCATAAGTGTCTAAAAAAGTTACAATGGTGTTCAACATGTACCTCTGTTTTCTCGGTCTTCCTGGACAGTGTTGCCCATGGTGCCATTCACCTCATGGTCCTCCTCGACCTTTACTAGCTCCTGTAGCACTGCTTCTACAATGGGCATCACCATGGCTGTGGTGGAAGTGTTGGAAAGCCACATGGACAAGATAGTTGTACAGCACATAAAGCAAAGGAGAAGCCTGAAGTACAGCAAAGAGAAGTCATTTTGGAGCATATTACCCTTTCCCCCTCCTCTTTCCAACATCTTGACAGATGGTAGAATTTTTCTCATTGATACTAAAATACCACAATACAGAATTCATTGTGTCCCCTAAACAACCTTTTAAGTATGGAAGCACTGTTCAAATGCTCTGCTTCTAATAAAATAAGAACTCCCAGAATGCTTTGGTTTCCACCATGAGTTCTGAAATTTATTGTACAAAATCAGCAGTGCAGAAGTGGCAAGAATCAAAGTGGATTGAAAACAGAAGTAAAAACAAAGAGAACAGGGTAAAAACAAAATGAAATATCAACAAGAGAAGCAGCAGTAAGGAAAGGGGAGGCAAATTCTTCATACTTGAATTATAGAGGTGGTATTGTCAAGTTGTGGCCAACTTACATGGTTTTCAAGGTTGTGGCAATCAACCAAGTCATGGCAACCAACATGGTGGTCAAGGCAAGAGACATTCAGAGATAGTTTAGCATTGCCTGCATCTACATAGCAACCTTGGAATTTCTTGGTAGTCTCCTATCCAAATACTATCCAGGGATGACCCTGCTTAGCTTCTGAGATCTGAGAAGGCCAGGCTAACCTGGGTCATCCAGGTCAGGTCCAATCTCTTGATTTATACCACATACTTATCTTAGGGGAATTCTTTTTAGGTAGTACAATTCACACATACTGGGTGCATGCCAACTATGTACAGATCCTCCAGATATGCATAGCTGCAATGTTGTCTAAACAGGGCAATGTGCGGCTGTTGAGCTTTGGGACATGTGAACCAAAAAGCTGAAAATTCAATATTTTGAGCAGCATGTACCCATCCATTGCTCCTTTCAGACTACATGGCAATCAGGAGGATTGTGCATAGTCTGCACTCCTGATTCATGCAGTTAGCAGGCTCCTAGTATGCAAGACTGTAACACGTGAAAGGGGCTGGGATGTATCTGGAAACTTGCTCTAGCATTTATTCATAAATGTTTACCCTGCATCCTTAGTTTAACAGGCTTCTGCAGCAGGTTTTAAAAAGTGCTGCAGTGAGTAAGCAAGTAAGCACCACATGCTAATCTTACTGACAGTTTGTGTTCTCATTTTTAAAAACTCTGTCCTTGCTGCATGCTGTGAAAGAGCAGATTCACTCACATGCCCGGCTTTGCTCCAGCCATCATGACCATGCGCAAGGCGATCCGTTTGTGCAGGTTCCACTTCTCGACAGAGGCTGCCACACAAATGACACCCATGAGAAGCAAAGTGGTGTTCTTGATGTATTCTGCAGCCACCTGCAGGGAAGCCAAGTTGGAGGAAATCAAGCACCAGGGAGAGATGCGGATCCATCATTTTCCATCTTTTTATCTTACCTCTGCTTTTCTTTGTATTCAATATTTTCTTTAATACTAGAGAAATTCCCATGTTCAGTGAAAGAAATCAACACAGTGTCCTTGCATAACACATGTAGTACTTTCCTGGGAAGTTTTCCCTCCCACTCATACTTGCCTAATCTTCTGCTTGCAAACTTTGGATGTGTTAATTTGTGATTCAATACAATACATATTTTTATGAGTTCCCTCACTTTTGTAAGCAATGAGAAGTTCCAGGGCTAGCAATTCACAGGCTTTGTTTCCTTTGGGAGAGCAGTAGAAACTGATGATGTCTGTGTAATACTGGTTTCATTTATATTTATACTTACAACAAATCCCCAGAGAGAAAGAAAGAAATCTGCAGCTCAAAGTGCTTCACCTTTTAGACAGTGCACAGCTCTGTCTCTCTGTTCCAAACTCCAAAAACTCTCCACCTTTCAGTGAAGAGTAAAGCATCACCATTTCCAAGCTTTGACAGGTCCTTTAACAGAGCTATCACAAGATCATCAGCTAACACTGGACTGTCATTGAGGAAAACATCTACCATCAATAAGGAATGTGAACATAATTTTGTTACAAACTTTGGCCGGTGCATCACTCCAGGCCAAACTATAGACCCTTTTCACATTACTCTTCTAAACTGGATATTATTCATTGTTGGCATGGTTTCAAGTAAAGCAATATTTTATTTATTTATTTATTTATTCATTTATCTATCAGAACCCTGCCCAAGGGAGATTGCATGGCAAAAAAGGGCGGCGGATGGGGGGAACGGCATTGTAGGAAGCGCTATGGACATTTTAAACAGCACACCACAGTGATTCAGAAGCACAACGTAGAGGCTGAAAACAGAAAAAAGCAGTTTCCCTTAAAAGTGGCTGAACAACGCGTTGCTAACTCAACGCAAGAAGGTTTGTTGAACAGATAAAAAGAATTCCTCTAGCAGCTGGTTACTAAAATGGGCCTGTCTGAAATGACAGGAAAAAATCCATTAGCAACCAGTCACTGAAACTGAATACAAAGGCAGTTTGAAAAGGCTCATAATGATAGACCCATTCAGAGCAATCAGAGAGCAAAGTGAGAGCAATGTTAACCAACTTGGCTGTTGCACAGGCTTTCTAGAGACTCACTGTCCAGGAAAATCACGCAAACACTGAAGTAGCCATTGTAAGAAAAATAAATTCCCGCATGGTGCTCCGCCGTTTCCAGGAGGCGGGGCTAAAAGTCAAGATGGACAAATGTCGGCTGGGGGTGCAGTCAGTGGACTTTTTGGGATTCACAGTCGATGCGGAGGGCCTCCATCCGACACGGGACAAAATAAAGGCGATTGTGGAAGCCCCCCCGCCAAAATCCAAAACCGAACTGCAGGCGTTTCTAGGAATCTTAAACTTCTACCACGCTTTTTTGCCCCACAAGGCGGCGGTAGCGGAGCCCCTTCACCGGTTGCTGGACAAACTGGCCCCCTGGGAGTGGGGCCCCCGCCAGGCCGCCGCGTTCCACAACGTAAAAAAACTGTTGATATCAAACGCGGTCCTGGCCCATTTTGATGAGACATTACCGGTGGTTTTGGCATGCGATGCCTCGCCTTACGGGGTCGGGGCTGTGTTGGCTCACCGTTTGGCCGACGGCAGGGAGGTCCCGGTCGCTTATTACTCTCGAACCCTTTCTGCGGCGGAGCGGAACTACGCCCAGATCGACCGGGAGGGTCTCGCAATTGTGGCCGGGGTCAAGAAGTTCCACGACTACATATACGGCAGGCCGTTCACCATTGTCACAGACCATCGCCCGCTCCTCGGCCTCTTCGCGCCCGACCGCCGGACGCCGCAGGTTCTCTCGCCGCGAGTCCTAAGGTGGACTATTTTCCTCGCTGGCTACAATTATCTGCTCCTGCACCGCCCCGGGAAAGCCATGGGCCACGCGGACGCTCTTAGCCGCCTCCCACTACCTGAGGTGGTTGAGGACCCGGCCCCAGCCTTCCGGGTCCTTCAGCTGGAGGGCCTGCCGGAGGCCCCGTTGCAAGCGCGGGACATTGCCCGCCGCTCGGCTCGGGACCCCGTGGTATCCCGGGTTCTGGGCTGGGTGGTGAGGGGGTGGCCTGAGAAGACAGACCCTGAGTTCGCGGCGTATGCTACCCGGCGGGACGAACTTTCTGCACACAAGGGATGCCTGCTATGGGGAGACAGGGTCGTGGTCCCACACGCATTACGCCAGAGGGTCCTCCAGGCACTGCATGAAGCTCACCCGGGCATCGTCCGGATGAAAGGGCTGGCAAGAAGCTACGTCTGGTGGCCCGGCATCGACGCAGAGGTGGAAGCATGGGTCAAGCGTTGTCAGCCCTGCCAGGCGGTGAGACCCAGCCCACCGGGGGCACCAGCGCAGGCGTGGGAATCCACCCGTACCCCGTGGTCCCGGCTCCATATAGACTTCGCAGGGCCATTCCAGGGACGGCTGTTCCTGGTCACGGTGGATTCCTACTCAAAGTGGCTGGAAATAAGCCCCGTGGCTGCAACGTCCGCAAAAGCCACCATCCGCGCCCTACGAGGACTCTTTGCCACACACGGGCTGCCGGACACCATCGTGTCGGACAACGGGACGGCTTTTACGTCCGAGGAATTCCAGCAGTTCCTCAGCAGCAACTTGATCCGACATGTCCGGTCAGCGCCGTTCCACCCCGCAACCAACGGCCAAGCGGAGCGAATGGTCCGGACCGCAAAGGAGGCCTTGAGCCGGATGGTGGAAGGGGAATGGGAATGCCGCATCGCCAGATTCCTCCTGACCCAGCACACGACTCCCAACCCTGTCAGCGGAAGGTGCCCAGCAGAACTACTGATGGGTCGAAAGCCAACGATCCTTTTGGACCGCCTGCACCCCGACCGGGCCCCCGACCAAAGAAACGCAGTCGAGCAGAGGGAAGCACCAAGGGGGTTCTTCCCAGAGGACCCGGTTCTCGCCAGAAACTTCGGCCGCGGTCCGGAGTGGATTGCGGGCCGCATACTCCGGCCCCTGGGTACCGTGATGTACGAGGTATCCATGGAGTGCGGGCAGATATGGAGAAGGCACATCGACCAGCTCAGACAGCGAGTGCTACCGGAGTCCCAGACAGAGGAAGAGACGAGACAGCAGACGGAACCTAGAGAGACCACACCCGAGGCGACTGCACAGGACTTGCCAGCCGAGGAGCACCCGGCACAGGGCCCCACGGCCCCAGCTTCGGTCGAGGAAAACCCCGTTCCGGAGGCGGCGGAAGCAGGAGCACCAGCTCCCTCGTCAGAACCCGGCCCTGAGGTCGGAATTCCGGAAGCACGAGGGGCCACCCCTCGACGGTCAGCTAGAGTACGACGGTCCCCATCGTACTTAAAGGACTACGTGACTTAGGGGAGGGCCCGGACTATGGGGGGAGGGATGTTGTGTCCGCTGACCGCCACCGGAGGCCAGCGCACACTCCTGAGCTTCAGTCCGGCACAACAATGGGACTAGGATTCTAGTCCCTCCACTGGGGGGAACCAATGGGACCTTGGCGGGAGATTCAAACCCTCCAATGGGACCAGGGGAAGCCCCTGGACTGTGTATATAGTTGGCCTGCCGGCCGTTAGTCTTTAGTCTTGTTGTGTACCAGTAAAGCCATGCTGATCACCACATCAGTTTCCGTGCTTTCTTTACGCGTCTAACCCACTACACTTCACAAATGCTACCAAGATAGAAATGTTACCGTTGGGCAGTCCAACCAGTCTGGCAATATTACTTCTCCTGTGTGAATACTACCTGAAAGGTGCAACTTTCAGAGGCACTCCTGAAACACCAGGGGGTGACCAAGGGCAGGAAAGCATTTACTAGCAACACCTACAGCCATTCCTGTAAGAAGATGATCCAGCCACCATTATACATGCTTGGTAGCCTCCAGGCTCAAGTACAGTAATTCATTCCATATGAAATCGCCTGTGTATACTATTCAGACCTGGTGCAGCAGATTGCTTTGCAGAACAAGTGAGCCAATAGGAGTATTTACAAAAAAACCCAAACCAGTCCAGTGGGTCCCACTTTGTTTCTGGGCAATTTAGAATGCTGGTGTTGACTCTGGAATGCCTACAAAGGCCCCGGTCATACGAGAGGTTTTGGGCCAGGAGAGGGACGGATCGGGGGCGGAGCAAATGGGCGCGATCCCACCGCAACATCTGGGAAGCGTTGCGCACCCGTCCCCGATCCGGCCCTTCTGCCCAAAACACGGAGCAAAAATGAACCACCTACCGAGGTGGTGCTTCTGGGACGGCCGCATCAAGGCCGGCCGTGGGATCGCCGGCGCGTCCTTTCGCCGGCGCATCCCCGGCTCCTGGCCGAACTGCGCATGCTCAGACATGTGCAGTTCGGCAGCCTCCCCCTCCCAACCATCTTCCTCCCCGGCATCTGATCGTGCCGGGGAGCTACGGCGCCGCGGCTCAGGGGATCCATGGGATCCCGCTGCGGCGTCTCTATTTTGGTGCGGCCGGTGTTTTTCCTGCCGTGTGGCAGGGACTCAAGTTACCTTCAGAAGGTTCTGGAGACTTGGAGGAGGTCTTTCTCCAAATCTCATATTAGTTTGAATTTAGATAGGTGGGAGTGCCGGTGACTGTTACTGAACCCCAGCGATGTTTGCAGCGCCAAGTCTATTGCAGTTTTTAAAGAGGGGAAAAGCCTGACTTTTTTTTTTATTCCCACAGGGGTCTGGTGGAAAGGTTTTAAACCTGTTAGAATGAATACTGCTCTGTGGTTTTCTGCTGAATCAGTTCATACTATTTTAAAATTGAGAGTCAGTTTGGTGTAGTGGTTAAGAGTGGTGGACTCTAATCTGGAGAACCAGGTTTGATTCCCCACTCCTCCACATGAAGCCAGCAGGGTCAGTCACAGTTCTCTCACTCAGCCCCACCTACCTCACAGGGTGACTGTTGGGGGGGGGGGAGAGGAATTGAAGGCAATTGTCAGCCCCGCTGAGACTCCTTCAAGTAGTGAAAAGCAGGGTATAAAAACCAACTCTTCTTCTTGTTGTTGTTTCTAGGTTATGCATTTTAATGTATTTGACCAACTGTGGTTTCCATTCTGTTGTAAGTTGTCCCAAGGCCTACTTCAAAGTATAAAATAGTGTATGTGTGTGGGGAGAAACAAAATCCTAAAACAAACAAACAATCAGTGTTTGTTCATATTTACCAAATGAGTCCCCAGGGGGAAATTTTTAAAAGTATGTGTGATTGTCACAATTAAAACGTTGGTCCAGGACTCTCAGATGTTTGTTTTGTGGCTTGCTTCCACTAATTCTTGCCTCATTAACTTTCTTCACCCCACCCCACTCCAGGTTAGCCTGTGCAACAGTGTTTAATGAAACATGTTCTTGGGTGAAAAGCAAAGAATCCAAGACTGGCAGCACAAAAACCTTTATTGTTTCCCTTTATCCCTTTCACACTTGTGGGGGTCTAGACACAAAGACTAATGTTCTTACAAGCACAAGGCTCTTAGTCACAGGCTCTAGATAGGTTGGGGACAGAACCTTCATAAAGCACTCAAACGCACCTGATCTAATGTTTCATGTAGTGATGCTACTCCATTTGATGGGCAGACTTACAGCCCAGTTCTCAGCATGCTCACTCGAAAGGTAGGACCAATTCATTTGTTACCAGCAAATGCATGGGAACTGCTGCAGCATCCAGACAATGGATAATGTGAAAACACTCTCCATCAGATACCAAAATGGATTAAGAGGTCATCTGAAAGTGATCTAAGTTTCCTCAGTGGAACAAATAATGGCTCCCTGGGGCTGTTTCGGGTTAGGAAAATGGGATGGGGCATGGGGGGAAGCTTAAACTGCCTGTCCTCGTATACCATCATCCTGATCCAAATTTGGCCTGTATGTGCCACAGAACTCCCAGGCTACAATTGTCCACCCAGCCTGGGGATGGACATGGGAAAAGTATAACATGTATTTAGCCTGTCAGCCTAACCTACCTCACAGGTTTCTTTTGAAGATAATATGAGAATACCAAATAATGACTTGGATTCCATCACAGACAAGATTTTCACATTCCTCTCATACTACAGTGAATGCAATACATTTCCACGGAGTCAGTTCCCACACTCATTAGAAAGCCTCCAAGTGATAACAGTTTTGCACAATGTGTATGCATGTGTGAAGCAATATGACCGATTATAAAAGGACACAGATCTGACCTCACTGGACTTCATGACTCCAAATAGCGGGTAGAGGAAAGCAGGAACCAGGGCTGCTGCCCCAAGTGGCACGGCTTCGGAAACCCAGTACACTGCTGTCACTATCAGCACATAGGCGCACGAGGCTTCCTGAAGGAAGGAAGAAAGGGGTTAAATGTCACTGGAGCATTCTGGGATGCAGGAATATTCACAGATTTGCTCTAACTCGCACCCTGTTATCAAAGCTAAGCTAAATTAATTCTTGGACCACTAATTGGACCAATTTTAATTGACTGATGCTGCTGTCTTGTATATACTTTTTACCTTCTTCATCAAAATATCATTGTAGTTATTAAAGCCTCTTCAAAAGTTATAACTGACACGAGGCATCTTTAAAACTAAAAATTAATGAAATGCACATTTTCCAGCAGTAGAAGCATTACTGAGGAATTGCTTACATTCTTTTATCATTTCTCAGTTCTGTCAGTTCTTTCCTTGGTATTAAAGAGTTCTGCAATAGGTTTTTTCCTAATGGCTTTTAGGGAAA